CCTCAAGAGAAAAATGGTTACTTAATTTGTGTGAAAACCGGAACACGTATCTCAGCTGGTACTGACGCCAAAGTTGGAGTCAGGCTTCATGGGATGGATGGTGACAGCCGTGTGAGTTTTAAAACTTATATGTATAGGTTTATTTTAACTGTCAATTCACCTTTCTCAAAAAAGAAAGAGATCTCTGGTATTTTGTTATTTCAATTTATAATTTTTTACAGTGTCTATTACTTTCTTTGTTATGATTTATGTCCATACTAACTAAACTAACATTTCAGTATGTTCACATTTTTTGGATTGTTTCACAATTATCCAGTTTGCAAAAGAGAAAAGGACCTGATGTCTAGTGTGGTGTAAAAAGTTCATGTGGAACTTCCATCTGCTCATGACATTGAGATGTTTGAGCGGAATGGTTATGTTAAAGATAGGTTGATGATATTATAGCTTTTATATCAACCATATTATTCCATATTTTTCTACATTTAAAAATTGCTAGAAAAACTTTTACAGTAATTTACAGATCACTTCAGTTTTGGCACCAAAGTCTCCATCCTGAGGGGTAGGTATACGTGTAGTGGATGTATGCTTACAGTCTTCTTCTGCAGTATTAAAGATTGTCACTGCAGTGCATTGATGTACACAAAGATGTCTTGGAAACACAATACACATAACCAAACCATCAGTGGGTTAAACTTAACTCAACTTTCTACAGGTTTCGATTCAAGTAGCCCACCGGTACACAACTTGTAAGTAATGAAGGTGTATGATTTGATGTGTTGATGTAGGCCCACGTGCTTCACAGTGAGAAGTGCCGAGGGATGGGTTGGAGCAGTGAGTGTTGGTTTCAGATGTTCTCTCATCGTCATCTCGGTACTCTACACTCTCTACACATTTGGCACGACAACTCTGGTAAATCACCGAGCTGGTACGTTGACTTTCTTACACGAGTTAGCGTAGAAGTTTTATCGTAAATGTCTTTAAGTAAAATGCTGGTAAGATAGTTTGGAATTATTTTTTGTACTTAGTGTACGAATTCCGAAAAATAAATGGCTGATCAGTTTGGCAGAAAATATGATGACACTTCAATCAATCAATCAAAATAACTTTATTCGTATTGCACATTTTGTACAGAATGGAGTCAGTTATAAAAACACAATATTAAACATAAGACTACTTACAACAAATATTGTTATTATCAAAAAATCAAATTTCAGGAAGTTGGAAAAAATCTTCTAATTTATACAAGGGTCTGTTGGTGAGAAATAATTTCAAACGTTTTTTAAATGAATGAATGAATTAATTAATTAATTACGCACCACACGGCGGAAATTCCGCAGTCTGTGGAACCATAGCTTTACACTGTCAAAGTACACACTTTACCTTCATGGTAAGCTTAAGCTATTGGTTCCAAAGGATGCGAAATCTCCGCCGTGCGGTGCGATTTTTTCCGCTGCGGAATTACAACGACACTGGTTTAATGGAGTTCCCATGTATGCGGTTCCACTGACGTGTGTTTCCGCATCCCGAATTTTCGGTTCCGCATGGCGGACAAATCATACTGGTCTAATAGCAGTGGCAGTGCGGATTCCGCCAGCGTAGAAGAGGCATCAATTAATTATTGTGCCCGATCAATTTAGTTTCCTAACATCATTTCAATAACCTTATTCTTTTTGGGGATTGTATTTTTTATTTGTGTATCAATAAAACTACAATTTAAGTTCAAATTGTTATTTTACTAATGTTTACTATCATCCATTCTTAAAAAATTAATAAAGCGATTTTTAGGAACTAGGTCTAAGATCAGTTTACAATAAAAGTAACCCCTATTAAAAATAATTAAGTCTGAATATTACTTTATATTATTTTATGGTATTTATGGTATTATATTTGTGTTCCATACTCGTCACTAATTTGGACAGAACTGAATTTCCGCAACGTTATTTCCGTAGTCAGTGGAACCACCCCTCCAGATTTACGCTGCGTAATTATCCGCAGCGGAAAATTATGCACCACACGTCAGAAATTCCGCAGTCTGTGGAACCATAGCTTTACACTGTAAAAGTAGTTTTGTATATTGGTCCTTGGGAAGTTACCATGTTGTTACATTGGGAAGAAAAATGCTGACATTTATTTTGATGTCTTGCAGCAATTCATCTTTGCGGCAAACTGTATAATTCAAATTTTTCAACCGTGTTAGTTTAAAAGTAGTTTTCCTCGAAGATGGATTGCTTGCAACACAATTCAACAACGACCACTACCTTCACCCATTCAATGGCAACTAACAGTAATCTCCTAAGATTGGACAAGAGATTTACCGGTAATGTTAATTTCAGTTACTTTTCAACTCCAAGTGCAGTATACTATACTTAATTAGTTTTACTACGATCAAATGAAAATGGTTTAAGAGCGGGACTTCGGTGTCTGAGGTCCCGGGTTCAAATCCTGCCAAATCACCAATGGATTTTATCTAAGTGATAATGCCACAACCCCTAGGTCTAGCCTGAAGTAATGTGAAAAACAATCCCGGGCTCATGCCTAGCGTCCTTGGACAAAAAAAAAATAATAAAAAATACCTTATAAGCCATTACTCAACAATAGCCTAATTTGGGTTTATTGCTAGCGGGGTCAGTGTCTCGGACTTTGGTGCAAGAGGGTCAGATTCGATTCTCGGCATGTTCACAAAAACATAAGGGGGTTGTACCGCTTTTCATTACAAGCATTTGTGATTCATAAATATAAAATGTACACGGCTTCGACACTAGCATAAGGAAACACTAAAAGACTTGGCCTTATTTATTTTAGAACATCAATATATAAAAAAAAATAGGATTGTACAATCATAATTTTTTTTATATATTGATGTTTTTTATATAGTGATGACATATGTACAACCTGACCATGTTCATTGAAGCATTTTACTCTTTGAGGAATCTAAAGATAAAGAATGAAAAGTTGAATAACAGTAAACAAAATATGTTTATGTTTACTTTTATACTATGTGTTGTCAGGGAAAAAAATAAGTCCAAAAGCGTCCTAATGTCCTTAAAAGTGTGCTGCTACTTAAACTGATTATTTCTGATTCATTGGCTTCTCTTTATGGATATTTTGGCACTATTTGATCCCTTAAAAATATTTAACTCAAGCCAAACCGTGAGATGGTGGAATATTTTTGAACAAGGGTAAGATCTGTGACATGTGCTGTGTTATGATCGTACTTTTAGTGACTAACAAGCTTTTTGACAGTAAAATTTCAGCTGGAAGTAACCTTATCTTTGTCATCTTAACTTGTGATTTACTTTAAAAGGTGTATCAATATGATAGTTATCATGGGTATTTATTTACACTGATTACATTCTTGGATCGTAAAACTGTTGAAAATCACAATACTTTCAATTTAAGTGTATAAAGGTATCTATTTGATTTAAAAAAATAATAATGCGTTGTGTAGCTTAAGATAATTTAACAAGTTTAATGGTTCATTGAGTGAAAATTTAAAAACGTACGTTTTCATGTCCCTGGCCTTTTACTTCGTAGATACTGGATTTGTAGTTTATTATAATGTCTTTTTATATTTTTTGGGATGGGGGCAACATGTTACACACATTTATTTAGTTTAAAATAGGTTCTAGGTATTTTTTTGTATTTTTAAAGTCTCGAAATTCACGACCATGACGTGTCCCTAGGGTACATTTTCCAACTTGCACGCTGTTTTTAGACTAATTATTAATGCCGAAATATATAAAGCCATATTTTTATGTCATCAATGGTTATTAAACTTACAAAAAAGGAGCATATTATAATTTTAATGTCATTGCAAACTGACTACCATGACAAAATAAGTCTGTCCCTCGATTTGGCGTCACGACCATTTGGGAAAAGTTTTCAACTTTGGAGCACGACAGTGGCAAGCCTGGCGTCGATGGAGTCAGTTGGTTTTAGAGACTAGTTCGGGGTGTACGTCAGGATTGTAGTGCCGGTCGTTTCGAGTTGAAAGGAGGAATTACAAGATTAATAAAGGAAAGATTGTGTTTTTTGTAATTTTGGTGTGTCCATGACCGTACGTAGTCATTCGATGAAGTAGACATGGTGTTAATTTTTGTTTATAAGATATTTCAATTGCTAGATTAACCTAGAAGTCCACTTTGTATCCTCGAACATGAGGTGCAGGGCTACCGCCAAAACAGAGCCAAATAACACGTAATTTCACGACCAAAGTTTCACGACCATCGCGGGTTTTTTCACGACCTATCCAGCCTTATGGATTATAGTGTGTTTGGTCGTGACAATAACTTTAATATAATTGTAAATTGAACAGTTTAGTTCAATTGAAACACATATTTTTATTATAACTAACAGTATAATTAAAGGATTGTTTAGAAAGATTTAGATTATTTCAGACAATTCACGACCGTACCGCTTGTCCCTGACCATCACGTTTATGATTTCTATCATAAAAATTTAAAAAATTAAAATATCGTCATATTTCAATGTTTTATACACAAAAGAAGCACACCTATATACAAACATAGCGATTTTTCGAGTCTCAGGTAAGTTTTTTCGGAGTTATACTAACTTAAAAAGATTTTATTGGCTTTTTTTCAATTTTTTGAGTTTTTTATTTTTTTCTAGAAAGACCAAATATAACAAAAGCTCAGTGACCTTTTTATTGTATAATGGTCATAAAAGTAAATTAGTTTATAGCAAAACATAGTTATAAAAATAATATTAACTATTTTTAATATTCATTTAAACGTCCGTTATGGTCGTGACAGGATTTTGTGTTTTTCCACTAAAGATGCTCTTAAAAAAAAAACTACCAAAGATATTGCGTTACCACGGACATTTTATGAAACTTCAAATGTTAATGAAATAAAAAAAAACTAATAAAAGTTTTGAAAAAAGGGGAAAAAATTTTGCAAAGTGCTTTTCCTGAAAACGTACGTTTTTAAATTTTCACTCCATTTCCTATTAGGTTTTGTGAATCAATATTGGTGTTTGACATGAAAAAAGAACACTGCTACACCTTCATTGTAAATGAGTGGATTGACATCACTGCCGCCAACATTCCCGAAGTATTTGTAGAGCCCCTGCATTTGACAGCACTGACTACATGGAGTAGCAAATTCATGAACCATTTGAAATATGGATTTTGTTACAACCATCTTTGGATAGCCATGGTTTTGAGGTATGATGAATTAATTTTCTTGTACATTTTTATCTAAAACTAAGCCTTTATTTATAGACAAATAGAATAAATATAAATTGGCAGCAGTGCTGCGGTTAGCACATGTTCCGGCGCCCACCGGAGTGCCTTGTAGTTACGGCACACACCGCTGCAGCGTACGGCTCCTGCGCTCCTCGCCTGCAGTGGTGTGCACCATAACTATACACATACACAGCACTCCTAGTGGTGGGCCCCGGGAACCTTCCTTTGACAGTCCATATTTATTCTATTTGTCTATGGCCTTATTCACTATCTTTGGTTTGTCCCCATACACGAAGATTGAGCATACACCTAGTAATAATAATAATGACCTTTCAAATTAATTTAATAACCATATGCAGTTTCTTCTTCTAAAACCACACTTTCTTTGTCCATTGTGGATTTTAATTTGCTTTCTAGTCTGTTTACCCTTATTTATTTTCAATCCTTTTTTTTTCTTAAAATTCTCAAACACCGGCCCTCTCATATCCTTTTTGGATTTATAAAAATGTCTTATGGCTGCTTGGTGCTGCTTAGTGAACCATAAATTTCCTGAATTTTTTTTTCCATTCTGCCTTTAATAAGGCTAACTTGACTAGGTTTTAAACAAATAAACTCGAACAGTTTTGGTTTTCTTAAGGTTATTAACAGAAAAAAAACTCATTACGATGGATTGTTTTATTGTTTTGTCAATTTTTAGCAAATTTCTCGTATAGGGAATAAGCTATTACCGTAGGTCTCATGGTAAGACCTGGACCTGGAATAAGGCTGGACAACAAGCTCACCTGGAAGAGCCATTTGGGGATAATATCTTCTGGGGATAATTTTATTCCGCAGGACCCACTAATTTTTTATTTAACATCAAGCTTCCACTGCCATCGCTCTGTTGATGTATTTTTATTCACTTTGTTCTTCCAATCCAGGGGCAACCAAAATTATTATCAATTATCAATTATCAACTATCAATCATTGAGATGGGGACTCAACCTAGGTACGTATTTTAACCCAAATATGAGTGAAGGATGAGTGCAGAATGGTGTGAGATGACCTGTGTAGCTTTGTTACTGACTAAGGTAAGTTTCATTAGTCAGGATCATTTATTTAAAGCCCAATGATCAGGAACAGCTGGGTCCAGTTTCAAACCATCAAAAAGCTACTGACTTTTCTCAGGATCGAACCGGCAACCTTTTGATTACTAAGCGAGCACTATAACCACTCAGTAATAAATAGGACCACTTTGGTATACGGATGGCTCAAAAAAGCCAACGGGCATTGGGGCGGCAATATATGGAGTCAAACCAAGGCGCAGTTTTGTGTACGCGTGGGGAAATTGGCCACTGTATTCCAAGCAGAAGTTGTTGGAAACAAACTACCTTCTACAATAGGTAGTTTTCAACCAACTTTTTTAATATTTACTTTTGTGTGCAGTCACCCAAGAGATCCAGTCAGAAGAGCTGGTCGTCTTATGATAGGAATTATCTTCATCCTTACCTCAGTGTCCGCCAGCCTCATATTAACAGTATTCTCAGAAGGAGGTAAGCAGATGTTTATCAAACTAGTTATTTTAACTTAAGTAGTGTTTCATAGCATTTCTTGATATTTAAAAAGTTACATGCTGACTTCATAATTAATTATTTTAAAATCCTCTTTATAACTTTTGGATTAAAATAGAAAATGCTGTTGGTTGAAATAATTTGTTTGGTAATTTAAAGTAATTTTCCTTTTCGTCATTAAAACAGCCAAAAGACAAACCTTAGAAACAATCATTCCTTTCCAAGAAATCATAAAGTTTTATAAATCCGAAACAAATTCAAAAGTAATTTCATGTTACAAGTTTAAAAAGGAAAAAATGTTTATAAACTTTTTATATTATAGAATCTGGTGTAATTTAAATATACTGCTATCATATTTGTAGGGACTGTTGGAAGCAATGTTAACATTCACAAGAAACTTTGAATAGCTAACAAACAATGTACAGTAAATATTTTTGCATGATTTCAAACTGAACTCTAAATGCAGGAAGATATCTAGAAGTGAAGGAGGACCCACCATCATTCTCAGTAGAAAGGAGAGATTTTCTTATTAGTTTCCTCACAATGATTATCTCTGCTTCGGTAGCTAGACTAATGCTCTATATACTTAGGTGAGTTTTTCAACCAAACTTTATTGTAGTGATGTACAATTTGATTCATTTTGGTGCGAGTCAATGAATACAAAGCCTTTAAAACCTAAATGCTTATGGAGAATAGTCAGACTGGAATTTCGCTGTTAAAATGAGCTTCGCACGGCCGCTGCTACTATCTTTTGCGGCCACGCATCTCTATCTCACTTTAAGCCCATTCTTTCTCTCTCTCTCACTCAGTCAGCTCACTTCACCGCGTGCTCGCGATAGTCTACCTATTGGCCGCAGGAACTATACGAAATTAAAGTATTCATAGACTGAATTTTTAACAAAGGCATTGCGCTTCTTATAAGTTTTGTATTCATTGGTTGTAATCAGCTGTCTGACTCTTTTTGTATTCATTTAAAAACATGAAAAACAACATAAAAGGTTTGTATATACAAACCAAAATCAAACCTATAAGGTGATTTAAACAGTATTTTTACTACTACTTTTAACTACTTCTTTAAATGCAACCCAAATTATATTGGACACAGAGATTAAAGGTTTAGCTTTGAAATAAGGTCATATGTTGGCAGCGCTGCTTCCTTCATTTCATTGCCGATCAGCAGCTGATATACAGTTTAGCATTGTTGTCTATATGGATTAAGGTCTCTGAGAATTTATTGTGAATAATACAACACAGTGTTTTCACAAGTTCAAAGTCTATGTATTATTGAAGTATACATTAAAAATAAAGTGTCTGTTTCTGCTAAGAAATGTTTACAATTAAATCTTTAGGTGAGATTTCTTCCCCCCAATGTCTACAGTAGGGTGTATCAATAGTCACAGGTTTTATATGAAAATTGTTTACATCTGTTTCAGAAAATCCTACACAGTCTGGTACTGTTCAAAAGACGAGGAGAAAATCAAAGTGGATGGGTTTTCATGCAGAAACGCTCAATATGCAACTCTAATAAAAAAGAACGATGAAATCTTCTCTGGGGAACTGACCTATCTCAGTTACAACAGCAGTAATTTAATTGGAGTCAAAAGTGAGTTATATACTTTAGTCCATTACAACATGTACCTCAAAATGTACTGTCTTCTATTTAACTTAAAAACTAATACAAGTTTGGTATCAAACCTTTCTTGGGGATGAATGGAGAAAAATATGTTCGGTGTTAACAAATTGTAGTGTTTATAATTATCGTGTTCTAATTTTCATCAAATTCTCAAAATTATTAAAAAAATATCTCATTATGAAGGTTTTTTTTAAAATCTGTATTCACGTCCAAGGTTTTTTATGGTAACAGCAAAAAACAGGTTTATCGTAAGATTGATACTTTATAATTAATTATTATTAGTAATAAAAATATTACAAAAGTTAAGTTTAAAATTACCTTGTGAAAACCACTTTGAAATCTTCCAGAAGAAATTAAAGTACAGTATCGGTATTCAAAAGAATACCTGTATTTCAACATAAAGTTACTAAAATTTTAACTTGCTAGTAGGCTACTATTAAAACATGGTTATGATACCAGATTCCTTACCTCTAAATCTATTACATGATAAAATAAGATATGCTTATTTCCTGCCAATAATAATGAACTGAGTTTTTCATAAAACTATAGGAGGTATTAACAAAACATTACATCTTTTGGACAAATTTTCAAGGAAGAACTCTAAACATAAAAAGTATGGTTACCCTCAGGATGGTTAAATATAGGCTATGAATTTATTTTCCATAGGCTGCTCATTGCTACAGTATATTGCTCTACAATTCATGCAGCAACCCCTGATCCCAGTCCAGTTACGAAGGGACAAGCCGGCAGTGAGCGTGAACATCGGCTGGCGCTTTAGATTCATGTAATACATCAGCTGAAAAACTTCAGCATATCGTACAGTGAGAACAATTAATTGTAGTTTATAAAAGTAGTTATACTTGGTTGTTCTTATAAAACTAAGTGAAATTTAATAAATAAGGAAATTCTGGGGTGTTTCACAAGTGCTTACTTAAAAAAGGTAAACAATTTCACACATAGACAATGTTTTCTACATTCTTACTCTTCAATAAGAAAGGGTCCGCGGAATTGGCTAACTCTGGAACTCGCTAACCCCATGTTAAAAGCCCTATCTTCAAATTTGGTCAATGAGAGGAACTCGCTAACTTGATCGGTTTCGGAATTGGCTAACTCCGGAACCCGCTAACCCGCTCTAGAGCCGGGTTAGCGAATTCCGTCCTCGTACGGAAGTCGCTAACTCGGTCCCTCGGGCGGAACTCGCTAACTCCCAATCAGAAGCCTCACGGGCCGTCCAATGGGAGCCAAGCACGAATATGTTTGGCCAGTGTTACCGAAAGTGTAGTACCTATATAGTATCGGTACCGTAATGTTGTATCCTACGATTAATTAGGAGTAAGAGCAACGTAGTTGATCAAATAAATATATTGAGAAGTATGTTTAACATTATTCTCATGATTATTAGGGGGGAAAATGCATTATAGTCTTACCATAGACTAACCAACACAAGTAAACTTGATATCCCATTGTAAACTTTGAAGCTCGTTTTTCGCGTCTAGTTCATGTCCGGTGACACTGATCGCTAGTGTCGACAAAATTGTGTTTCTATTATTTCTATAGTTAACTTCATAATTTGCTCTTTACTGTTTGGTTATATAACTAGGGGACGTGTTATTAGTTGTGATTAGAACGTTTTATTTGGTTAAACGAGGTTTTAAATGACTGGAAACAAGAAACAATTGTAAACAAAACACGACTTCTAAAGACAGTGCACCGGACAGAACTAACAATAAAACTGTCTTCAGCTGATCCATAAGGATTAGAAATATACTAATATAAGGGAGTATGTTTTATATTTGGGCTTCTTACTTAAATAGTAGCTTATTGGTATGCAAAAAGATAAAAATGTACATTTAATTTGGATCTTTTACATGTTATGAAATATCTATTTTCGTAGTTCGCCATTTGTTTCTTTTATTCGAATAAATACCATTTTTTGAACTTCTGCAAATAAATTATTGAGTTCGTATTTTATATTCTGGGCTTGTAACCTTGAATCATAAAATTGAATCATAAATCATGATAAAATTTACACGTTAAACGTCAGTACAGAAATACATTGTAGTGGCAATATATTTTTAAATAGAGCTATTGAATTTAAATACATATTTATCAATACAATATTATAAAGTTCTAGTCCTAATTTATTCATAGATTGCATTAAAAATTTGTCTATGCATAAATACAACTTGTAAATTTCTTTTATCGTAGGCTATTAGTGTAGAACCCGGGCAATCCTCTTAATTTTGTTGAATTAATTTTAATTTTACGTCTTTCAGTAGGCCTACTTTTTAAAAGTCGGGAGTTTTTCTCCAGGCTGGTTCTAAATCGACCCAGGCGTTGTTGTTTGTTACAATTCTTATGAATGGTGGCCATACCTAAAATTACTTGATCTTATCTAAAAACAAAGCTATTCTATTGTCTATTGAGTTGCTCAGTACCGGGGAACGGTGAACCGAGCAATGGCTTGGTATAGTTAATTTCGATTGTGAAACCAATGTAAAAGAAACCCAACTAAGAAAATCCGTCAATTCGTTGATTAAGAATCGTGAATTAAAATTACCCTGTCACGTTTTATTATATGAGTATTATATCTTCTCCTATTATTTACTAGTGGTGCTTAGGTGTACAATCTAAAAACTGTTTTAAAACATGTAACATTATTACTAAAAAATTCAACACATTTTAGAATTAGGCAACTATTTACTAGTAGGCCTACTAGTAAATGGCTTAAACTATTAGGCCTAGATAAAAGCTTAGTCTAATGTCATATTTTTACACGTAAGTTGGACGATTCAACGACGAACATTTAATTTTAAATCTATGAATTAGTTATGAAAGTTACGATGGTTGATGACTGATGGTTGATGTTTGATGACATTACGATTAAATTTGTTTTCCGTGTTTGAGAACTAGCGTGTATTTTAGCTTAATTTCGCAGAGGTTTAATTATTTAGTACCTTTTCAATACTTTTCAACTCTATTATTTTCTTTTATACTTATGGCATTTATATTTAAGATCGAATTCACAAACATTTAACTGGCCATTTTAGAGTTAAATAAAAAAACACTTCTCATGATTTTTTAATAATTGTCTTTTAATTACTTTGGGCTAGTTATCTGTTAAAAGTGAAATTGATAACAAAAACAATTGCATTTACTGTATCTTCATTGACACTGATATTTTGAAATACGGTAATGTACGATTATTTTGTCGTGCAAGATTGGCAACGCTCCATGCAGTGGGCGCGGCCGGGTTAGCGACTTCCAGAGTTAGCGAATTCCGCCGCGAGACAAAATCGAGTTAGCGGGTTCCGGAGTTAGCCAATTCCTGACTGAGACGGTTAGCCAGTTCCGACACACAACCGAGTTAGCGAGCTCCTGAGTTAGCCAATTCCTACGTCTCATAAGAAAGCTAGTATGTTTGGCCCGTGAAACCCCCATTTGAAATGGCCATAAATGCATTCAGTAAAAGTATCTTAGCAGTTATCTTCCACATGTTACCATGAGTGATTTTTACAAAGTAAACCGTATTGAAACTTAGTCAATACTTGGTTATAGTAATTCCCAGATTGCTTTTGTGCATCAACTAGTTGCTAAGTGCACTCTTTGGATATCCACAAGCAGGTATTGAAACTACTTTCAATATTTATAGTTAATGGAAGCTATAAAACCAACCATGGAGAAATTACAATCTTTTTTTATTCTCTTTCTTGGAAAAACATTCTAACAAATTGCAATTTCTTTGATATGTTTTCTTTTATTTTGCAGACTATTTTACCTTCTGGTTGTTTTACAAAGTGTGTTTGTCAGTGTGTTGTTATCGGACCACCTCAGTCCTAACCGCATCAGAAGATGGGTTACCATTGTTGTTATGTCAAACATAATTTACACTGTCATCTATTTGCCTCTCAAGATACTCATCACGTCACTTGTGCTATCACTGTCTTTTGATGTGAGTTTTAATTGTTTAAGCTGGTGTTTGTCAGCAAAGTTAGTAGTGAATAAAACTATTTAATTTGCAATTTGATCCATAAATAACATCAAACCATAAAAAAAAAAACTATGATCTGGACCAAACTATGGTTTTGTTACTTTTTATAAGATTGACATGTCCAAAATTATCATTAACCAATACTGTAGCTCTGGACTGGTAGCTAAGTAGGATTAAAGGGTAACTGGGCGGGCTCCTCTCAGTTTATCCCTAGTTTGATATTTAACTATTTAAGATGCAGGAATAATATTGTTCCCAATATGTACAATATACAGCATATACCTTGCATCTTGAAACCACTTCTGTTTCCTGTTCGATTGCCATAAGTTGGGGTGTGCAAGAATTGTTGATTGGGGTTTAAGACCAAATAAAACAATAAATTTGTGAATAACTTATTTTGTCTTGTGGATTACAACCAAATAGTACAGCGCACAGTAAAATTCACTTTGAAAGAGAAACATTAATATCAAATGAACTCCCACTTTTCCAATATATGAAACATACTCTGATTTTATATTTTATAAAATGATGAGTTCCAACTTAGAGTATAGAAAGTCATAATATTAAAATACCTCAAGATTACAAGTAATATCACAAGTTCCCTAAAAAAAACCTTGGAGAGATCACAGTGCAAAAAGAAATAGATATTGTTATAATTTCTTTTGTTTGCAAAAATTACTTTAGCTATATATTTTTTCAACCACTACGTGGGATTGATCTCATTGTCTCACCTGTAAACTGTACGGAAAATAGCTCATTTGTGCTTTATTCATTCCCACTCACTAAGTCAACTGCAACTGATATCACCTTTGCATCTGTCGTTTCATTCGTTCCAACAAAAATGCATTCATAACCCTGGTGATATTTGATGCACTACCAAAAAGTTTATCTGTGTGATATGATAAGTTAATTACGGTGGTAGGAAAAATCGTGTGTGTATTACGAGCACATACAGTCATTTGTCGCTCTCAAAATGTATGGCCGCACAAAGATTTAGCTGACATGACTTTAGCTGTACCTACAGACCTCGGTCTGCAATGACGTACTTTATTTTATAAATTGTGGAACTATAAATTCTGTTTCCATTCCAAATATTTTCATGTATTATTGCTGCAATAATATTTTTTTATTGTTGCAGCGCATCATATACAAAGACTTCTACATACATGATCCAGCAGACTGTCACAAAACACATCTCTTTGGAAACGTTGAACATCTAACAAATGTAATCGAAGAACGCATGAAACCTGAATATAAACCTATGAATGATTCCGTTCATAAGGTTAAAAGAATTAAACTGTCTAAATAGTTATGTAATACTCCTACGTCCAATTTATGGGACCCAAGACTAACACAATGAAACTTCCAATTACATCTATCTATGCGAGTATAACTGAACATTAATGGTGAACGCTGTACATGACCATATGCGGCAGCCTGAGAGTTATGTTTATAACTGCTCCGTTTCCGCTATTCATTTGTGGAAATTTTTTGTGGGCCTCACTCATTTATATTTTGCCCAGTGATACCCAGGGCTCATCATAAATCATACACACATACATATATATCACACACAATCGTCCTTGAAATGAAGCCTGACATCTCGCGGAACCCAATAAATGCTTCCCGGGTAGGAAAACTATTTTTATCCTGCACGCAAAAGTCAAATGCCTAGCCAAGACTCGACAATTGGTTAGTGCAATGGTCTGAAGAGTTATTTTTTTGGTTTGTTTACAACAACGTAGAAGGTTTAAATCCAATTTTGATTGAAATCTGGTGCGCAGCTCATGAGAAGTTCACTTATATGTGCACATGTAGAGAGGCCCACCTATGAAATGAATGGTGGACGGCTCACGTGTAAGTTGGCGGAATGGGTGAATTCTTTGTGAATTGTACCATTGACGTTAGGATAATGAAGTAGACATCCCATCTACATAGACCAATTGTAGCCATTTTTTATTATAAGGACGTAGTTGAATGAGCCTCTCACAGAGTGCACTACATTAAAATTCTATTTTCTGCCTTAGTTATTGTTACTAAGATAGTTGACGAGACTTAAATAGCTTACAATAAGTTATTCCAACAGTTAGACTCGGTGAAAAAGTTGGTGTATTCGACAGAAAGTCATTAATTAAATTAGCACTTTCTGTCAATTGCTCAAATCAACTACCTACGTATTTATTTTTATTACAAATTTGCGACAACTTAGACAAGGGTACGGTATGTAATGTCTAGTTCCATCAATAGTCAAATGTTGTGCTTAAAACCAAGTGTGTTATTGCTTTTACAATTTTATTTGTTTTTAATTGCAAGTTATGAAGTAATTATGTGATCACCTCAAAGATAAAATTAGATTTTCAGTTTTAAAGTATGGAAACTGTTGTTAATATTGCCTAAAATTTACATCTCATATTTTTTTTCAGATGTACCAAGAAAAAAAGTTGAGAATTATTAAATGGAGGGCCACAATGGATTTCGTGTTTTTTATTCTGTTTGTAATTGTTCTTTGTAAGATATTGAACAAAGACAATCTCCTCCCGTATTTTACCAATGATCACTTACGTTCTATGTTAGGAGCTTCGGGTGATAAAAATCTCCCAAGTTTCAATGCTGTCTACAATTTGACACAGTAAGTAAGATGTGTGATGGATAATTTTAAAATCCTGCACTGAATTGATACTATAATCATTCCTATTACTTTTTTCCATGATATGTTGAACAACTTAGGGCAGATTGTAAAAAAGTCATTTAATTTGACCAATATCAATAAATTGTTAAAACCTTTTGCAAATCTTCACCTTTGAATTGTTTCCAAGACACCAAATGGATTAATTTTATCTATCAGTAAATAAAGTCAATCTTGTAGAGGTTTTGAGAATTAAGTATGATAGCAATTAATTAAAGATTCATTTTTATTTATATTAACATAACCTCTCCTCTTCCGGTTATCTCCGGGTCTGGGTGTTCACTAGGCCTCTCCATCTTCTTCTGTCCTTTCACAATTTCTCTTCCTTATTTATTTTATTTTTTATTATTTTCATTATTTTTATTTATGCTTTGATAAAACCTAAACTTATGTTTGTCACCAGATTTGACAAATTCCTCAAGCAATCGTTTAGTTTATCTCTGTCCAAGTTTTTCTGGTACAACAAGAAACAAATTCAAGAAGGTATGCATGTGGTGATTAATTTATATATAATATTTCAATTAATCAAGACTTTATTAATACCAATTTTTGCATATTTATATGGAGTGTAGGCTAGAGTCTAGCTCCATTTTCACCAAAAAAGTTTGTGATTAAAAAAAAAGAATCTCTAAACTGAATAGGACACGACATTTATATTTTATAACAAATAGTGCCACAGCTTTTTTAAAGCGAGCTAACCTATAAGTGCTGTAACCTAAGATAGCCTCCAGTGAAAATCCAATATTGTCTGTTAAATAAAATTGTGCACTTGTAAATTCTCCAGTGTTCTAAGCTTTGGGGGTTTGACTTTGAGAGATGAAAATTGTGAAGTTTGGGAAAAACTGTTAAAAAAAATTAGCAAAGAAAGCAAGGTTCAATATGTTTTGTCTTTCTACATACCATTATATTATTAACTGATAACTAAGTTGTATGAGGTGTAAAACTTGCAGGAAACTTGTTTTTGGTGACTTATCCTTCCATTAGTTTGCTTAAGTCCATTTGTGTTAGGTATCTTAGTCTCCTCTTACACATATAGTTGTCTTAATCGTAAATGTTTTCTTTGAAATAGAATCATTGCAAAATAATTTATTGATAATGTTTTTGGTAAAGTTATAACTTTATAATTTAAAGTTTGAATCTTCACTAAATTTTATCTTATTTAGGAAACAATCAGTTTATGTACCTTCTGAGTTCTTCTAATATTGCAGTCAATTCTGTTAAATTTGGGCTAGTTTATAATTATAAAAATAAATATTTCCAGGTAGAAGAAACCAAGAAAAGAAGGATTGGTGTTCTGACAACACTCACCGAATGCTAAGAAGTCCGCACTTCACTCTGTCAAGGGTTAAACCTGGTAAATTATTTTGGTTTTACAACTAGTAAAATACTGATCTTTTTCTGCAGCTACAAATAACTTTTTAAATACCATTGATGTAGCCAAAAAAATTAAGAAAAATAAGTGGTGTAGCAATATATCCTGGGTAAATAGTTTCTGAGTTACACTAATGCGTTCAAATGTGATGGGATTAAGGACTGCAAACTCCAGTTGCATTTTTTCAGGCCGTTGCCAAGTGCCTGGGGTGATGCAGACTGTGTCTGGAGCTCTAGAATGTGCTGCTCCATGGGACCGTACTGCTGAAGACACACAAGTCTACAAACCTTACTGGACACTTCCAGAACACCTGGATAACACTTCCTACTGGAACCCAGGCAACTGGTCCTACACTCACTATAGTAACTATAATCACTGTGGTAAGATGTATTATTCATTCAAACTTTTTTTAGGATATGCTAATTTTATTCTCTGAATCTTTCAGGTCACCTTGAGTTAACTGAACCTCACATCATGAATCTAAATGTAATTGCCTTTCGAGTTTCTACAAAAACCATAAAAAACTTATGTGGTCTAAATATTGTATAAAGATTGTTTACCATTAAATTATTGGCAAATCAACTGGCTGAGTAGCTGAGTAGTTATAGTGTTCGCCTAGCAAACAAAAGGTCTCCGGTTCGATCCTGAAAAAAAGTCAGTAGCTTTTTGATGGCTTGTAACCGGATCCAGCTGTTCCTGATCATTCATTGGGCTTTAAATAAAATGATCCTGACTGATGAACCAGCTGATCTTAATCAGTATCTACAAAGCTACACAGATCATCTCACAACATTCTACACTCTTCCTTCACTCATGTTAAAATACGCACCTAGGTAGCTTCCCCATCTCAAATAATATTGCATATTGCTCATCAAAATTCATTAAACATCCATAGTAAAATGATCATACACATGATCAACATCTATACACTTATTATGTTATCCTAATATTCTGCAACCCCAATCTGTGACCTATTTTTCCTTTGAAAAGTGTGTAATTGAATATTCAATATAGTTATAGTTTTTGTTTTTAGGTACTTTGGTATTATACCACTTATTTTACAGTTTGCTGTGGCAGTTATGTTAGGTTGGGTTGTCATAAATATGTTTGTAGGACTTTCCTCGTTTCGTTATGAATCGAACGATACCAGATGAGTCATACTTTCTATTTATGATAACCCAACATAACATAACATAAACTGACCTGGGAGAGAAATTGTAATGACCAAAGATATAACAATTTTAATTATAGACATACTGGGTAAAAAGGAGTCAGTCCATCGTACTGGGACTGTAAAGTATTTCTTTTGGGAGCATTTAATCGCTATTTTCTTAATTCTTAAATTCTCGTTTTTGTGACATTCCCCCTTTTTGCTCTATTGACCTAATTTGTGTAACCATTGTTGCAGGAAGGTCTGGGCGCTGTTACCCGAGTGGAGGCTACAACAGAAGTCTGTGGAGCGAGGCTAGAGTGGTATTGAGTGTGCGAGACGAAGGATGGATGGATCACTTCACTCGAGCGCTGCTAATTCACCTCACTCTTTGTAATGTCAACACTCGACGCATCGTGCCCGTCACTCTGGTGGCTGAACAATCTGTCACTGGAGAGTTTCTTAATGTTATCGTGGTAAGGATTATGATAATTTGTATAAATCATTGTATAAATTTGTATAAATCATTCGTAACATAAAATTGTAGAATCTTGATAATTCAAAATTGATGAGCCAAGCATATAAATTTTAATTACCAAGAGGTTTGACTCATGAGCGGGAAAATAATTCATTCAATCACGAAGAGTTTATGTTTTAAATACTGTATTATGAAAGGTACAGAACAATTACGCCACGCCAACACAAAATTTGACTGTTGAACTCCCCCGCCATTTCTTAACCGATTTAGACCATTCAAGTCTCATTGGAAAGAGCGTGTTGCGTAAATTTGCAAACTGACCTTAATTTTTTTTTATTCCCTTGGGCTTTGCCCCTGTGGCTTGAACATACTTACTCTTTAGTTAGCTACAAATTATTTACAAAATTAAATTACAAAATATATCATTATCGATGGTATTATATAAGACAAACTACTGTGCTGAAAAATGTATATATCTCTGTTATGACAGAAAAAAATCCCTACCTTTAAATTACAGAGTGTTTTTCCGACCAAGCTTCAATTTACTGTGTGTTCCAAATCGGCCTGCCCTCTGCTTGGACATTGAAATAACAAGTGTATCAAAATGCATGGTAAAACTTTGAAATGTAAAGAGATTCTCTAAGGACTGAGCTTTTGTTCTGAATTATCAAGTTTCAATTTATCGAGTGTTTGAATTAGCAACTAGACTGTAGGCCTATATACATATACTCTGCAATTTTATGTGGATGATGGTGATTTTTCCTAAATTTAATAGGATAGGATTATTCGCAGATTCATCGCAAATACTACATTATGAACATAAACAAGACAATTTTGGGTACGGTAGTCATATATTGAATCACAAAAGATTCTGATTGGATGTTTCTGTTGTTGAATCTGTTTCTGTCAATGCATTTTAAAATTAATATCAGCTTCTACCGGTTGAACTAGTAGAATTTGCACACAATACAATATGGACAGCACAATATCCTTCAACACCAACACAATATGTGATATAATATGCTTTGATTGATATCTTCCACTATAAGGTATGAGGTCTAAGCTAGTAGATTACAGTTAGAAAAGTAAATTTTTGTTGTTAGGTACAAAAAGCAATAAATTATTCAACTAATAATCCTATGCCAGCTTAAAAACTTCTTAAAACTTCTTTGATTGACGTTTACAGGTAGAATCGAGGGGCATTGTTTTTGAAAGAGACATTTGGATCGTCATGTTTATGGTATTTGGAATTATATATTTAACAAGGTTTTTAATTAGGTTAAGCTCTGCAGGACTAGATATTTACTTCAAGAAGGTTCATAGACTGTTTGATCTCTTATTCTTAATCATTCTACTTTATAGCTTTATTATTTGTACAAAACTTTGTTTCATTCAAGAATATTTTCACGTTGATGTTGATATTGATGAAGACAGTGTTTTTCACACATTTGAAACACAGAGCTTCTTGTTTTATGCTCAGTCAGTGCTAATCATGATATTTATTCTATCAATTGTTAATAATTTTTGTGTTTCTCATGTTTATAATTTTGGAAGACATTATTTAAAATTTGTCCAAACTTTAGTATCTTCTTTAGACAAAATTCTATGGCTAGCTATATTTTTATTGTTATTTATTATAATCTTCAACATTACATGTTATGTGTTAAATAACTTTGTAACAATTATAATACATAAGCTTTATCAGAATATGTCAGTAATCGGTTTTGAGGCCCAGATTTTATTTTATTCAGGCCGTTTAGGTGGTTATATATTGCTTAAATTAATGCTTGTAAGTTTTATGTATGAATATAAACATGTAAATAAGCATATTTTGGAACCCGGGGTTTCATTTAATATAGCAACATTTATAGGTCAAGAAGTAAGGAGTTTATGTAATGCTTATAAGAATTAAGATTTAGGTATAATTATATTTCAGCATTACCAAATAAAATATTTATCCTCTCAACTCAATAGGTAATAATCTAATTTATGATTGTTGTACCCACTTAGTTAATCCACTGAAGTTATAATATTAACATATTATAATGTTGTAGAAAAGGGTGACTATATTGTAAATAAAATGGAGGATCAACAAAAAGTTTTTTTGAATTACTTATTTTTTCCTAATTTTATTCATGACTAACAATTTGTGTGTGTCAGCTTTAAAGAGGCTTTAAATGTCAAATAACCTTCTCACTGTTAAAACTTAATATTAATGAGTCGGGAAATCTGAGTAATCCAGTTGGGTTGCGGAATTAGAGCAATATAGTTGGGAAATTCAAAGTGCCTCTCCCAAGATATTTTTCGTGTGACCCCCTCCTGTGACGGTCCATCGTGTATAATGCACCTCCAAAACAAGATCTTAGATCTTCAAGAATAGCAATAGACAATAGAAGAATAGCAATAGGTCATTTGGTGTTTTAGCATGGCTTTCTAGCAAACTATGAGTAGAATAGGACTAAACACAAAATAAAAAATACCCCTGCCGCACCAAACCTTTCCATTTGCCTGATTGGATTTTAAAATGTCTCCTTAAAATGTCACATTCATTCCATATTTAAATAGAAGATCTAGTTCACAAAAGTGCCGAGTAACCAGGTTCTTCCTTTTACATAGGACCAAGCGCTGGGTACACACACATGGGGTCAGAACAAAAGATAAGATGATCTTGTCAAGATCCCATCACTCTCCGTTCATTGAGTACCCAATAATGACTAGATCAATAAATCAATCAAACAAATATTCTTTATTCAGAAGAAAGTTTAGACAATATATGGAAATTGAACGTTGCTGCCATACCAACAATAATGCACTGCTATCCACCGCTAATCGGATTCACTATCATCAGTATCCCAATAGCTATGTCCACACACTCGTGTGATTTTGTGTCCGCTAAACGCATGCCTCTTAAAACATGCCCTGACGCATGCGTCAAGGCATGCCCGAAATGAACAGGAAGGAGCTCTATTCCATAGCGGATAGCGCACAGCGTAGCGCAAGACGATCTACTAGCCCTTGATTTCTGAGCATTTCAACTCACAACTGCTTTACATATTTGACAAGTCTTCCGTGTTGTAGTTGTTTAAGCATATTGAATAGCTAAGTAAGAAACAACAGAATTCATAGAAGATTGTCGCTCTCATTTGTGTTAGTGAGACATGTACGGCAAAAAAAATAAAAATAAATAAATAATAATAATAAATTAAATATATTGAAATTACACACAATTAATGAATTAAATTCAAAAGATAATTTGGAGTTTTATAGTACTTCTTCATCTATATTGTCTGCAATGATTTCTTAAGTTTTGGAACTTTAATTAACACTAAATATGCTGCACCATCCCTCCTATCAGAATAGCGTCGTCTTAATCCAATTAGGAAAAGGTATCTAACTAGAAAATGAGGAAGGTGACGCATGAGTGTGGACAGCTAAAATTCATACCTCAAGGGGAGTGCAATACCGCTTGCTTTGGTTCATTTTGAATTGAATGTTGAATTTATAGCTGAAAGGCACATTGAAATTGAAAGCAAACAAGTGTGGACATTGCTATTCAACCCCTGGAAGATTAAAATTGCTGGAAAAAAGAACCAGAGGAGTGGAGACAGAAGAAACAACACTATCGATTAACCATGCTCCAATGTGTTGGTTAGTCTATTGATACTGTGATGAACTGGGATTTGATGTCAGGAACTCAATAATCTGATGTGCCCCAGTGCGCCTGTAAATTTGATCTAGTTGCAATGAGAAAATGCACAGCCACCTTTAACTCAAGGTGGTTGTGCTAAATCAATTTTAAATGTAACTTAGTATGAATTGGTCAATATAGTTATAGTGTAGGTGCCTAAAGCATTAAGGCCTGTCCAAACTGCCGCGGTATGGGTATTTATACCGCCTTGACAAATATACTGCTAGCTGTATGGTAGGGTACCCATACACTGGCGCGGTACGCTGTACGCGGTGCTGGTCGTAACTAATTTGCGATTGAGTGCCTGTTGTGTTCTTGGACATGTAAGATGACTGTTGTTATTGTTTGCTACAGCTAAGGATGAAGATCGTGGATCTCGGAAATAGATACACAAAATCAACCAGAAGAGAATGGAACTTTGGTGAATATCACAATATAATGCCAGATCTCCGAAAAGATGAAAAAAGTTTTTACATTTACTTCCGAATGACCATGGAATGTTTTGACGAGTTGCTGCCTAGGATAATATGATTGAGAAAAAAATAATCCAAGCCTTTTTCACAACACATTAAGCATTAAGTATCTTATTACTATACTTACTTGATTCACCCAGTTCCTTTGCAATAATATCCCAGATATGGTCCTTCTTCTTTATGTTCTTGTGACTTTAGATCGTAATAAAGCACTGGATACAAATAGACTGTTTCTATCAATCGATCAGTATTGACATGCTGCTAACTAAACTGACAATTGCTCTACACAGAGAATATGCGTACCGCTGAAATGCCGCGCAGCAAAAATAGGGCATGCAGCATTTTTGTGGTACGAGGGCAAATTGTACCATGCCAGTGACGGTATACCGCGCCAGTGTGGGCGCTCCCATTAGCTCATGTTCTAAAATACCTGGTGGTTTACCCGTACCTAGTTATGCGGGATTGCGAGAACTTTAAACAATTGAAATGTTCTTTCTCGAGATGTTCTGCTTATCGATTGTTTCGATTACTTGGCGAGAGGTTTGTACAATCGAGAGCTGTTACGAGGATGTTAATTCTTTTTCTAGATTTCTTAGTAAACTTAGACTATTATTTACAACATATTATTTTGGATAAACACTTACGTCTTTCCGTCATGTCAACAGAAACAGAAAATTATTTTTAATTAATTGTAATAATTAATGTTAAAAAAATAATATTTACGAGAACTTTCAGTTATAAACATTTTGATTTAGATACAAACATTTTGTTTATGTATCGTCAATAGTTTTTATTGAGTGGTATTAAGTCACTATTCCGTAGATAAAGTTTAGTGATACAGTATATCCATAAACCGTCCTCGGTTTTGAAGTAAGAATGACCTCTTATTGGGGGTCCATCCCCGGCAGATACAATATAAATTGGATAATGATAATTGCCGATGACGTACTTAACGAAACAATTGCCATGAACATCTCGTTTAATACTCTCGGTAAGGACTTCTCGGTTCTCTTTTAGACGAATACGAGAGAAATTATATGTTCATACCGGCCGTGCTGAAACGAAACAATCACCCCAAATATCTCGATATAAACCTCTCAGTATAAGAACCTCTCGCTAAGCAAAAATACAATCGAAACGTCTCAAGAGGTTAAAACAAATCGAAACCTTTCTATTGTAACATCTCACAATTGCGCATCACTACCCACATACCACATACCACGGCAGTTTAGGCTGGTGTTTATATTGTAAACGTTTGGCCACCTTTGTGAGGACACGTAAAATATGGAATTTTACGTAAATAAATAAATGGTTGTTACAGCTTTTAAATTTTTAAACCGATCATTTGAAACTTTGTATTTAATGTGTAGTGTAATATTGTATTATGTGTTTGTGTCAAGGTAAAAGAGACCCACTTTAAAACAAAAATTCATCTTCTCTTGATTCATCTTTATTAAGATTTCAACCTAGGTATTTACAAGTAAAAATCATAATATTTCAGCTATTTCTAAATCGATCTTTTTGCATTTGAAATCGTTTGATAAGGAATAAAAAAAATTAAATAATAATGTGCTTGGAAAATAAAATTAGCAATTTTTTGTAATATAACTTAAAAAAATTGAAATGGCCGCCATTTTGAAATCTTAAGATGAATCAAGATGATGAATTTATTTTCTAACGTGGGTCTCCTTTGCCTCAACATACATATCAAGTTTCGGAATGATCGGTTGAAAAATTTTAAAGGTAAAAATGTTGATGTAAAAAAATGGCGGAAGTATTGTCAACGAAGTGATTTTGGAAAAAATGTTATTCCTGATTTTCTCTTTATTCTGACCCATAGAGCCATTTCCCGGAGTTTGGCTTTTTACTTACGGGACACATTGTATATATACCTATACAAACACTATATGTGAATTTAAACGGATGATGGTTTTTGGCCTTTGGGGACATCAAAATGAAAAATAAAATTGGTCCCGGCTCCAGGTCTTACCATGAGACAGCTACGATAATAGCTTAAATTCCCTATATGGAAAATTCGCTAAAAATGCTGACATTATTGTAATCGTACTGGTAATGGGTGGTGGTGGTACCATGCAGGCTACATTATCAATGACTAAGATAAATGGACAGCCTACTACTGATTTCGGCTAAAAGCTGGAAACATTAGTAGAAAACACTAAAAAAAGATCAGCTTTAAAAAATTAAAATATTTACAAGAAATGTTGATTAGCCTATATCGAACTGTTATGTACATCTTGAGTATCTCCATTAGTTATATAATCTAAGAGTTGACTCTTTTAAACTCATGGGAAATTAATTATATGACTATGACAGTTATTTGTTTTTAAATAACTCCTGTAATATATGTAATACTTTGCAATAACTCGATTTCAAGCAACGTGTACACTACATTAGTAATTAATAATACAAGATGATACCAAATGAAAAGTATTAAAGTATAATACAGTTAAGGGATTACGACAAACAAACGAAATCTTTTTATGAATATAATCATTCGCTGATTCGCTAATTCCCAAAATATTGTTCCTACAGGCTATAGAGCGATACCAAGAAAAACAGAAAACGCGTCGTCTGCTCCTGCTGGTTCTGTGTTTGTGATTGTTTTTTATTTGAATTCATTTATGTTAGTGAAGGTTAGGTTTTTGTTTAGTTGTTAAAATCCGGTTGAACGGATCAACATTAAACTATTAATGCATGTTGTGTTGTGTGTATGTGTTGAGGTTACAGTTTTATTTATATTTAAGTTAAACTCGGGCCATCGTTACTATGTGGTAACACGTGAACTCCCACTAACTTAGTTGAGGTTATTAGATTTCATCATTATTTAAAGTAGGGACCTAACCCAGGCCTAATGTCTTCGACTGCTGCATTAACATTTAACAAATATGATTTACTATCAAAGAAAATAGTTTTGAGCAGCATATTTTTTTGCCAAAACTTTGTTACATCTAAAGCTATAGACCCTAAATTAAAAACAAGCAGCCAAGTAACATGGAATCAACCCTTAGGATATGAAACCAACATATCAATTTACAATCCTCTTGTAAAAAAGAAAACAAAATTAGTCTTACAGAATGAGAATTGTGTTAAATGGTATAGTTGTGGCCCAACTGTTTATGACTCTGCTCACATTGGACATGCATCGTAAGTAGCCTAAATACCTTTTTTTATAAGGAAGAATGTTCAGTAGATGCTGGTTCAGTACCCAATTACTGTACCGGTATGTTAGTTAATTTTATTGTAACTTTGATCCCTTACTGATTTAGCCATCTTGCAAGTGAATGGAGATGAGTGACGTGATCATGTAGTCTTGTTACTGACTAAGTTACTTAAGGCCGACATGTTCCTTGGACAGGACTGTAAATTAATAGCCCATTCAGCCAATTTTTTTAGCAACTACGCCCAAGCGACCTATGGTCTAAAGAGAAATCAGAACCACATTTTTGCCTTGTAATTTACAAATTGGTCTAATTAACTTATCAGGATAGTAGGTCTACTACAGATAGCCGTAGTACTCACTAGTGGGGACATTAACCCACCCTATGATAAAATTTGAGGGGAGGGGCAAAATATGTTAGATCGTTAACTATTTTCAACATTAGGCCTCCAAATTAAATTATTGTAACTTATATCCAAAGCCTAATCGATACAACAAAATACAGTAGTCCTACCGGTAAGTACCCTCAAAAGGCTCTATCTAAGTCAGTTGCTAAGAGTCTAAATCCCGGATGATTTTACATTTTTTATTTGATGCTTAGGGTCCAAACAGGCAGTAGCCAAAGGTCTAAATCCCGGAAGGTTTAAAATTACAGTCAATAAAGAAAACTTATCCACTCTTGCTGTTTTAAACCTTACAGCATTGTATAACCTTGGACACACCCCCTAAGTTTTATAATTAAATGTTTATAAAATGAGAGTTGCTAAGGGTCCAAATTCTGGAAGGTCTAATTAGACCTTTGGCACACAGTTTGCATTTTGGACAAGTAGTGGAAGGTCTAAAATGAGAATTAGACCTTATGCTACTAGGCCTAGTCTAAAATGCAAACTGTGGAGACCAGCGAGACCTTCGGGGAGACCCTCAGCAACTCTCACTTTATAAACATTTATTTATAAAATGAAGGTTGTGTGCTGGAGGTCCAAATCCCGGATAGACCTTTCGGGATTTGGACCTTCAGTAACTGATCAGTTTTCTTCATTGACTGTACTTTTAGACCCTCCAGGATTTAGACTTTCCGCTACTGCCCGTTTAGACCCACAGCAACAAGTCCAAAATGCAACCAGGCTATAGACCTTCAGCAACACTCCCATCATAACACTTGGAAATCATTCAAAATAAGAGATGACTGCTCCCAAGGCCAATAATCAAAGAACTGATTTGGAATTTATATGTCCTTAATACAATTTGTATTTTTGTTCCTGTTTTAGGATGAATAAAGTGTCAACATAAAAATACTAGTATACAATATTAATACCATATAACATATTAACATTCCTTTGTACTACACAGTAACATTAATGTTTAGCCTGAATCATGATAGTAGGAAGTTTATTAGGCCTACCTTATAAAATTTATTTTTAACCTATTTTTTGTAAAAAGTAATCTTGAACAATGCCCAAGTAGGTTACCAGTTACCAGTTACTTACAATCTGTATGTGTGATTTTTATGTGGATTGTATTTTCTAATCTCTTTAGGTTTCTTTTCAGATCCTATATTAGACTTGATATCATTAGAAGAATTCTCTCAAATGTATTTGGCCTCAATGTCTTCTACCTCATGGGTATTACAGACATTGACGACAAGATTATTGCAAGATCAAATGAAACGAAAGAAGATTTCCGCACCCTGGCTAAACGATACGAGGTTGAGTTTTTCCAGGATTTATCGAATTTAAATGTTCTTCCACCCACAATGACAGTAAGAGTTTCAGACCACATTCCAGAAATTATATCCTTTGTCAAGGGTATTATGAAGACAGATAGAGCATATAAAGCAAAATCAGGTAAAGTAACAAATTCAAGTTCCAGAAGAATGACTGTTGGTATAAAAAATATAAAATTAGATTCAGAAATTTGCTTACAGAAGTATGACAGTTAATTATTAAAAACAAAATCTTTGCTACACATTGTTGCAAGTTTTAAAATGTAGTAATTGGGGTGGGGGGGGGGGGCACTTCAGAAATTGACAAACACTTAAATTTACATCTTTGCTAAAAATAATCTTACAACCAAATAATTTTCAATAAATAATCTGTTCAACTTAGGCCTATTACATTTGAAGGTAATACCGGTAGTTAATTTCTCAAAGCTTATTTCAAGCATGACTGACATTAAAATAAGTACAAGTAGGATACATAAAAATTCTTTGAGTATTTAATAGTGCTTTATTTTTATATGATTAAGTAGGAGTATCTAAGTTATACATTTTGCAGTTTAAGAAATTACTCGAGTTTTTCACATTAAACATTACATGCTTTATAGACACCAAAAGGCCTGATATATACAGAGACCTATGACTGTAATGCTGTAACGACTATTTGCATTTGATGCATATAGATAGTACCTATGCAATCAGCTAAAAAAGAAAACAATTTCAAGCCACCAGTATTTTACAGCTTGCAATGGGAATTGTGGCTTTGTGGCTAAGGAAGGGAGTATGTGCAACAATACAATTAACTTGACATGAAGAAACAGTCATTACAGTTGTTTAAGGAATCCCAACTTTGGTTTAGTTTCATATGATTGTGATATTAGACTGGGTTGTTTAAAATATCTAAGAGTATTAACAATTCTAGGATCTGTTTTTCTTACAATGGAACAATTTTTCTAGGATACCTACCATACGTTAAATTATGTTCTGGTTATGTTCGTGTATTTATAAATCATGTTTATAGTACTCATATTATTATCTTGTGCAATACGTGCCTAAATTGTTTATATCTTGTCACAAAATTCTAGGATCTGTTTACTTTTCCACCCAGAAGTTTCCCAGGTATGGGAAGCTGCGTTCTTTAGTGGATGGAGAGGATGAGGAGGGGAAGAAAAGCGGAGAGAAGGAACACCCTCATGACTTCTCCCTCTGGAAGGCAGCCAAGCCACAGGAGCCACATTGGGATAGTCCGTGGGGTCCCGGGAGACCTGGATGGCACATAGAGTGCTCAGCCATGGCGAGGTAATGGGTGAGACAGCGTCATTGTAAGACATCAGATTAGAGATTGAGTAGGTTGTATTCTTAAGGCTTTGATTATTGCAAATCCATGAATTTCAAAGAAAAATCTATGTGTTTTTGGTTGATTAAAAACTATTTTGGTATGTAGTGTCATTGATAATTTTTTGTTACATTTTAATGTGAAACATTAGGCCTAATGAGGCCGAAGCCAGTTTAAAATATGAGGCATACATGCCTATTTTAGTATTACAGATATTTATATATGTTGACAGGCGCTTTTTTATTTTATTTGGAAGTGCTAGAATTAAATAAATAAACTACAAACTATATTTGAAAATTTAAGCTCAATACTAAAATAAAAAATAAAAAAATGAAAATAAAATTCTGCTGATTGAAATTGTTTATGATGACGTCTTATGACTAGTAAATAAATAACAAGCGTTACCAAATGTTAAACAATGTGCATTTCAATTATGTGTGATTTTACTCTGGGTCTGATTAAAAGTTTGTTATAATATGTTTGGTTGCATAACTGATGAGTCAGAAATATATTCGATTGATAAGCTAAATATGATTAATTATTGTCTATACACTTGATGCAAACAAATTGAGTAGTGGAAAACTGTTTAGCTTCACACAATCACAAATATTGAGAAATGAATTTGGGTGTGTTGCTGGAGGCTAGTGATTCGGACTGCAGGGACAGGTTCGATTCCCGGCACATCCATAACACTTATGGGCTTGGTTTGCATTCCCTAAATATTGCAGTACACTGTCACTGTCATTGACACTCATGTAAAAAAGCCACTAGTTTTGATAATAAAACTTTTTTTAATGAATGAGTCATTATGAAGTTGAAATCGTTATTTTACTAAATATGCATATGAATAAAATTACAGTTTTGTCAATAAATTGCGTAGAATCATGTAGTTTTTGGCTATTATTTTTACGTATCATAGCCTAAGAAAGCCGAAACGAGTCTTATCTCAATTTCTGTCTGTCTGTCATTGTGTCTGTAAAACCAAATTACCAAATTTACGCGGCCTACTCCGAGACAACTAGAGTAGAGTACCTATCAAGATTCAAATCATTTTAATGAATTCACTGGATTGGTGAGAGTGTCTTTAGCCATTAAAATATTGCCTCACTTCTTTTTAAATAAAATAATGGACGTTAAAAAACCCAATTTTGTGCGATTTTTGTCAAGTTTTCACCGAATGTTTATCACATACATCATTTATGAAATACAAATCATCTGTTTGGAAAGTATGTCATTTAGGAGATAACTAACAGCTGTTTGGGTCACGATTTTTGTCACATTTCCTACTAATGTTTACTATTGTCGGGACCACGTAAATTTGCAGTTGGTGGCAGCCAATCACAAGACGAGGCTAGTGCGACGTTGCCACATCACCCATTGACAACACTAATAAAAATATACAAAGCTATATTTTCAAATCAGCTGGTATTGTTAGATTTGGCAACACCACACCGTTCTCATTGGTTCATTGAAAACCATATGGTAAATAGGCTCCTCCCTCAACTGCAAACTTATGTGGTCCCGACAATAGATATACCAATGCCATGCATTGTCTAGAAAATGTGTCATAATAATAATAAATAACAAACCGTTTTCTGGATAAAGGTTGTTTCTTCAAACTGTCACCAATGTGTTTACATTAAAAGTTGTTTACAACTAATTGCAATTAATGGGAGACAACTTTGATTTCCGATAACTTTTTGTGAAAAAATCCAAACCCAAGGGAGATTAATTAATAACCTCCCAACTAAAATTTAAAAAAATGCAAACCAACTGCTGTTCTGAATATAAGGTTTTAACTGACTACAAGATCCCAGTCAGTAGAACGGGCACACAGCTAGTTATATACTAATTACGATTCTTGCTCACCATGGCACGTAGTTTGAGACAAAGATGAATTTACAACTAGTGTAGAATGAACCATGCTAAAGTTAAAAATGTTATAAGCCATATAAAATTGTTATAATGATCTAGAATACCTTGGTCAGGGAGTCTAAGGCAAATTTGACTGTTTGTGTGCATCCAACTACCAACAATCCCTCAAACACTCATTTCTATATTTATTCTAATGAATAATTCTAAATTTAGTTTTAAACATTTCAAAACATTTATTATTCTTACCAAGTTAAAAAAATTATATTAAAATTACATTTTTTCTTTGTCTAAATAACATTGAAAATTGTCATTATTTTAAAAACATATTACATGTCAGATTAAGTATTTCTACCTACATTGTATCGTATTACATGTGGTTTACTGTGTTAGTTTGTTTACAGCAAGGTGCTAGGGCCTAGTCTGGACATACATTCGGGAGGCCAAGACCTGGTGTTTCCCCACCATGAGAATGAGGAGGCCCAGAGCTGTGTATATCACGACACCTCACAATGGGTCAACTACTGGCTGCACACTGGTGAGCACTAAGTCTTAGAGCCAATACGTGCAATTTGTACATTCTGTAGGTTCCCAATGCAGTATTCAATCAGGCAAAAAAACAAATAATGGCGACGGTTTGAAGATGACAGCTAAGCATGGCAAATGGCAAATCGTGTGCTGTGATCATAAGTCTGTACCTATACAAAGCTACTTAGTTGTATGTTTCAAAACTGGAAAGTTTGGAAAGCTATTGAGACTACAACCCTGAGCAACTGTTGCAACTTTCTTAATTGTCCCCTGCGAGCAAGGCAAAATCGTCTTCATTTCCCACGATAGTGGTTTTCATACTTAAAGTGAAGTGTAGGAAGAGAACCAATGTTGAGCCATAACCATTACTGAACTTAATTTTGTCCAAAAATAACGTTTTGCGTAACTGATGTAGGCCGACAATTCGTTTTCTCGGTCATTAAAATTGGCCTCGTTTAGGTTAGAAAAAATGGTTTAGTTTGCTTATGCACTTGTTTTGTTCTACACGTGTACAAGTCCTGGCTTGTAGCAAACACAAAAACATTGTCTACGGTACTTTATTCATACTCGTCTCGTTTATGAATTACTCTCATGCTCAGCTTTAAAATAAGCATTATCTAAGTCCCCTCACAGTAATATTCAGTTTAAAATATTTTTTGGATTTCTTCTTATTTTTAAGGCATAGGGTATTATTTTGAAGGAAATATTTTGAGTCCTTTTAAAAAAATACCTCAGGCGCACAACAGTTTTACAACCAACTTAGTGCCGTTCTGGAACACACAAACAGAGCGAGCCAGGACATTTGAGGTATGACATTTGAGGTGTAGGAAAGAAACTTTGTGAATTGATTCTGTATATTTATTGATAATTTTACTAATCTATTTTTGCAGGCCATCTACAAGTGAAAGGGGATGTAAAAATGTCAAAATCGCTAAAAAACACAATCAGCATATCCGAGTTCCTCAAGACTTACACAAGCAACCACTTGCGAATGCTCTGCCTACTCTCTCCGTACAGGCATGGTGAGTTAGGCTATGTTTTTCGATTTCAATATATAAGGTTTTACACTCCAAATTTTAGGCATTAAGTTTTTATTTGTTATTGAACCGTTAACTTTCTTTGAGTATTAGGTTTGGCATCGTTGTATTTTTGAATTCCTTGAAATGCAGATTGTAAGTGTGTATTGTACAAACCTTAAAATATGGGAAAACACATTTTAAAACCGTTTTGAGTATTGATTGAATATGCTTAAAACAATTAAGCCCTGTGACCATTGTGGTACGAAGTCATGTCATGATGATACCAATAATTGTCTCAATCATATCAATACAATATACCAATTGACAATCATATCAACACAATATCATATAAAAAAAATATCGTATTAATACAATATATAAATTATAAACGCTAGCTTTAAGTTAAACTCAAATTATTCATTAGCCTATGCATGTAATTACTATACAATACAACAATTCAATTTAATTTTCTCTTCAGAAGCCTCCACATGACACAAATTGTTAGGTCAGTGGCCTCTTTACTTGAGATCAGAAATATCCTAATATTCTAATGAAAGTTTAGCTAATTTCCAAAAAGGAAAGAGTTAGAACAGGCCAAGATACTGTAACTGTGATACATGTTTTATTGGAGGGTATCTTCTGTGTAGACCACTGAACAGAAAGAATTACTTTTGGGAATTGCAAAAACAACTTGTAAATACCATAACTATACAAAAATACAGTGTGACGAATGATATTCCAGGTATTGATTATTCCACCGAGGCAATGAAAACCGCTGAGAATTGTTGTCACAGGATACAGTCATTTGTTGACGAGTGCCAACTTTATCTTGCCGGGCTAAAAGGATCAACTGACATAGATGAACCCTTTGTCTTAAAGGTAATTCACATAACATACAATACAGTTGATGTATATAATTTTTAAATATTTGTAGTGTCAGTAGTTTTTAAAGGTTAGGGTAGTTTAAATTTTAAATTTTAGATGTAAACTTTTATGGTGCCACACTAATTTTAGATGTTTTATTTTCAGCAAGTTCAAGAAACTAGGAAGTTAGTTGAAAACTATTTGGCTGATGATTTCGATACACCAAGAGCTATGACTGAGATATTGAAATTTGTGACGTCAGTAAACTCCATGATTGGGAAACCCGTCATTGTAAGAGAACAATCTTTATTTTGATTTTGATTTTGTTGTAAACAAATTTCAGTTTGATTTCATGTATTAATAAAAACAATAATAACTCAATTTTATTGAAAACAATAAGCAATTAGTGGGCTTTGTTGGTCTATTAGCACAAGACTTCTCCTGGTGGGTTTTTAAGAAAAAGATAAAAATATTTTTGCACATGAAATGCTACATACATTTATTTTTTACCTTTTCTGCAAACAACAGATTCATTCTTAATGTTTTTGCTGGCTCACTTCTTTGTTAAGTTGTTTGATTAAACAATATCAGGACTGGAAACTGACACATACTTTCTCTCATTAACCTGACATTAAAATTGAACATCCTGCTATTTATATAAGAGAAAATTAAAATTATAATAGGTGAACGGCAAAAGTAACCAAGAGTTAAGTGCAAGAGTTAAGTTGGGGAAATCAAATAGATTGCAATAAACAATTTTAAACCCTAAAAATTACAGCATTAGGTAGGGGTTGTGTAATCCTGTTTAGGGTTAAAATTACTATTACTTACTAAATACATACTTTTAAAAATCATATTGCCATTGCTGTGAAAATAAAATATTTTGTAATTTTTGGGGTTTTAAAAGTAAAATCACCATTGAAAATTAAAATTGTAATTTTAAAAAATGAGAAAAAATACCTGGAGATAACATGGATTAGTTAAGTAATATCAAATTTCATAAAAATCGGTTCAAATGTGTGGTCTGTAGCTCTTCACACATCCACAAACAGACATCAGTTATAAACCACTTTTTTGGGTTCAGGGGGACCCAAAGCACATACCGGTATTTCACCCAAAACTCAAACTCGGAGATTTTGACAAAACCAATACTTTCTCCATGTACTATGTATAGGGGTAGAATGCAAAAACAGTAGGCCTACAAGAAAGGCAAGATACTAATGGATATGATTTTAATCAGTCTTTATATTCTTATATATTTTTGTGAAATATTCTTCCTGACAATCTTTCATATTCATATGACCAAAATGATTTTCAGGATGCAGCTTCAAGTAACGTAAATGCTCGACCTGTCGCTATAGCTTCGGCAATGAATTTTGTCAAAGATATTTTTGCCACCTTGGGAATCACTTTTGCTTCAGATAAAGTGAGTTTAAAAAATATTAGTATTTGAGTATAGTATGTATACAAATATTTTAATATAAAGTCACTTTACTTTTACTACATAATGCTTGCTGTAAAAAAACATGCTGACAAAAATATTAGGAATAGGTTTTATAAGGAAAAATAAAAATAAATAACACAGTTAAAAAAAGACTGTGTTAGCGAGATATCCACCAGTTTTGTTTTGTTTTTTGTTTTTTATTAAGCGGAGCGAGCGAAGCTCTTATACGTCGACTCTTGTGCATTTCGTAATACGCAAACTCCTCCTAGACGGCTGAATCAATCGTTTTAAAATTTTGCATGGTGATAAATACCATATCGGTGAGTGCCAACATCTATATGGCGTTAAAAAAGTATCTCAGGAATCCGCCCCACTGGGTCTCAAATTTTCAATGTAAACCTTATGGAAGCAGTATTTGACACATAAACAAAGACATATGATCAGCTGTTGACGTTTGAATGCAGTAGATAAAGAAATACCTGATAGCATGATTCCACAGATATTAGAACAGAAACGGTATGCATCATAAAAATAATCAAATGATAACACTAGCTTGAGGTCCGTTACGTAGAGAGTGATGATGGAAGTAGTAAAGGTGAGCAGTCTGGAGTGTGCAAACTGTTTATAACAATTAGATTTAGGTATCTGCATTCCTAAAATTCTATGGGAAGGGAGGAAAACGGATCCGCGACGTAGGAAGTGGTGAAGGAAGTAGTAAAGGCGAGTTATCCGGAGTGTGGGGTCTTTTTATAACCAATAGATTAAGGTATTTGCAAACCAATAATGCTAAGGGAAGGGAGGAAAACGGGTCCGCAACGTAGGAAGTGGTGAAGGAAGTAGTCAAGGCGAGCTGTCCGGAGTGTATAAACTGTTTATGACGATAAGATAAAGGTATCTGCATTCCTAAAATTTGATAATAGGAAGGGAGGAAAACGGGTCCGCGACGTAGGAAGTGGTGAAGGAAGTAGTCAAGGCGAGCTTTCCGGAGTGTGGAAACTGTTTATGACTATTAGATATAGGCATCTGATTTCCTAAAATTCTATGGGAAGGGAGGAAAACGGGTCCGTAACGTAGGAAGTGGTGAAGGAAGTAGTCAATGCGAGCTGTCCGGAGTGTGGAAGCTGTTTATGACTATTAGATTTAGGTATCTGAATTCCTTAAATTCTACAGGAAGAGAGGAAAACGGGTCCGCGACGTAGGAAGTGGTGAAGAAGTAGTCAAGGCGAGTTTCCCAAAGTGTGGGAACTGTTTATGATGATTCGATTAAGGTATCTGCTATCCTACAATGCTATGGAAAGGGAGGGAAATAGGTCCGTGACGTAGGAAGTGGTGAAGGAAGTAGTAAAGGCAAGTTATCCGGAGTGTGGGGTCTTTTTATAACCAATAGATTAAGGTATTTGCAAACCAATAATGCTAAGGAAAGGGAGGAAAACGGGTCCGCAACGTAGGAAGTGGTGAAGGAAGTAGTCAAGGCGAGCTGTCCGGAGTGTATAAACTGTTTATGACGATTAGATAAAGGTATCTGCATTCCTAAAATTTGATAATAGGAAGGGAGGATAACGGGTCCGCGACGTAGGAAGTGGTGAAGGAAGTAGTCAATGCGAGCTGTCCGGAGTGTGGAAGCTGTTTATGACTATTAGATTTAGGTATCTGAATTCCTAAAATTCTACAGGAAGGGAGGAAAACGGGTCCGCGACGTAGGAAGTGGTAAAGAAGAAGTCAAGGCGAGTTTCCCAAAGTGTGGGAACTGTTTATGATGATTCGATTAAGGTATCTGCTATCCTACAATGCTATGGAAAGGGAGGGAAACAGGTCCGTGACGTAGGAAGTGGTGAAGGAACTAGTAAAGGCGAGTTGTTCGGAGTGTGGGAACTGTTTATGACGATTAGATTAAGGTGTCTGCATTCCTAAAATTCTATAATAAGGAGGGAGGAAAACGGGTCCGCGACGTAGGAAGTGGTGAAGGAAGTAGTCAAGGCGAGCTGTCCGAAGTGTGGGAACTGGTTATGAAGATTAGATTAAGGTATCTGCATTCCTAAAATTCTATAGGAAGGGAGGGAAACAGGTCCGTGACGTAGGAAGTGGTGATGGAAGTAGTAAAGGCGAGATGTTCAGAGTGTGGGAACTGTTTATGACGATTAGATTAAGGTATTTGCATTCCTAAAATTCTATACGAAGGGACGAAATCGGGTCCGCGACGTAGGAAGTGGTGAAGGAAGAAGTCAAGGCGAGCTGTCCGAAGTGTGGGAACTGTTTATGACGATTAGATTAAGGTATCTGCATTCCTATAAAAAATTCTATAGGAAGGGAGGAAAATGGGTCCGCGACGTAGGAAGTGGTGAAGGAAGTTGTCATGGCGAGCTGTCCGGAGTGTGGAAACTGTTTATGACTATTAGATTTAGGTATCTGCATTCCTAAAATTCTATGGGAAGGGAGGAAAACGGGTCCACGATGTAGGAAGTGGTGAAGGAAGTAGTCAATGCGAGCTGTCCGGAGTGTGGAAACTGTTTATGACTATTAGATTTAGGTATCTGCATTCCTAAAATGCCATGGAAATGGAGGGAAACAGATCCGTGACGTAGGAAGTGGTGAAGGAAGAAGTAAAGGCGAGTTGATAACAGCTGATTTTTACTCCATGGAGGCTAAAAACTATTTTTACTCCCTAAAGTGTAAAAATGCTACTTTAAACCCGCAACGCATGCATTAGTAACTACTGTTTTTACTGCAGTATGACAAAAACAATGAAATATGAACCCTTGACGACTCCGCTCAATTTTGTGGATGCCTCTGCGAACGCTACCTAGTAATTAAACTATTGACGATATCTTTGTAAAATTTGGTGTACAATTCAATAATATCGACAACATGAAAAAAAACATTACAAACATTTTTTTTAAACAGTGACCATTTTAATTCTTATAAATAAATCACAAAGAAATGGCTGATTTCATAAAAAACATTATTAGAACACTTTTACTTACCGTATTAAATTTCCTATCTAATGACATCAAGATCAGAAAGGAAAGAACGAATAATAAATAGGCCTAGCTAAAATATCACAATTTTTAGTTGAACTGGCCAGGTGCAACCTGACTGCTTGTCCTCTGAAAGAGTATTATATTAGGACAAAATATTAGCTAGCTAGCTGAACTCTTATCTCTTTTCAAAACACTCTTCACCAGCCACTTGTCTTTCCATCAACATACAACCTTCTATATCAATAAATGACCGCAGGGTGGCGCGGCTGATCACCAGAAGCTCTCGTCTGTATTGGATGCCACAATGGACTTCCGTTCCCGAGTGCGAGAGGTAGCTTTGCACCCGGACATGGCAGCCGCTGCCAAACCTCAACGGCAGCAGCTGCTTCAGTCATGTGACCAGTTTAGGGACGATTTGGCAGCTGCCGGCATCGAGATTAAGGTAAGTCATAACAGATTCAACAGGGCTTTGAGATTAATCCTTGACCCTGTCATAAAAGAGTATGAATTTCACTTGCAAACTGAAGTTCTAGTGAATGCCAAAAAAAATGCACCTACACATTACCACCATGTACACCTTTCTTGTAAAAAATACTACAAGATCGGGCCACTCACCCTACACTCATCTCCATTCATACTTGACTTAAAATACCTAGATTTTGGTATGGTCACCATTTAAGATAAAAATATTTAAGTTTCATTCTGTATTATAATAATCTTATGTGATTAATAAATTATTGACTATACTGTCTCACTTTTTTTCAAACCATCACAACAATTTTTGGTCTTTGAATATTAAAATTTGATCATAAATTAGTAACGCTACTGGTTTGTTTGTGTTTGTTTGTACTAATTACTATCTATATGTTTGTGATCCTCTCCTATTTTTGGTATTGCAGATATGTATGATCTGTAATATCCTACATTACAAATTATACCTAACCAATAAACAAACTATAGATCAGCACATTAAAAGTTACCCTTAAAACAAAAAAAGAAGTGAGTTTTGAGGGCTTTATTCGTAATTACAATCCCACCGCTGTGAAATGTTGGAGAGTTGGGATGTATCAAGAGGGTCACACTTTCTAACACTGCTTTTCCACCAACAGTCGTTGTCCTTCGGTAGCACAAAGTCAATGTTGTCAGAGAAGGCAGGGAACTTGTACTTAGGCCTGCAGGGAGGGCAATAGAGTCCCTTCCATTCGTCGCAGATTGGAAATTGTCCGGGAACCATTCCGGGGATGCACGGCGGTCTGATCAGATGCGTAGGCAGTTCTTGTTTCTTGGGTGGTGGGGGCATCTCGATAGGCGGATTCCAGGGCTTGATCCCACAAGAATGCTCCTTCGGGGCGTTTTGGAAATCCTGTCGCACCGGCAGGGTTCGACTGTAGTTCCTTACAGCATTGGTAAAGATTTTTCTGAAAGACATCATTTCTAATGGGTAAATCTAATTAGAATTTGGATCCAAATTTTTGGTAACAGCAAATTTGTAATATCAAATTTTGACTGAAGTTTGGTAACTAGGGAGATTTTACAAACAATTTATTTCCCAGTTTTATTACACAAAAAGGTGCTACACTGTAAGGTTACTATACCTGAGTTGTGATATGACCCTTTGTTCTATTTGTTTGTGTTTTTAAATGCTGTTGTAACATCATCAGATCAGTAAGCTCTACAAACACCTTATTTCTTCAGACATTAAATCCACATCAGACATTACTTCCAGATACATTTTCTGGAATTTAGTAACCACATTCTTTCTCAATCCGGCCAAAACATTCACGTTTTTAGACCTGTCGTACCATCTAATATATTGAAGTTAGCTGGTGATTTAAAATGTGAAGAAATATACTTATTTAAATAGGGTTAAATTAAATGGCATATTTTACCTTCATTTTACCTTTCATTCATTATATTTACTGTATTCCAAAAACAACCCCCTAACATTAAGTGAATAAAGTATTGTGGTGAGTGCTGGGTGAACTAATTTGACTGTACGTACGGTAACTGGTATGTATAAAAAAACTACAATATTAAGTAAGTAGTAAACAACCCCTGCAATAAATTCTAGCTGGCTCTGTATTAAAGCGTGGCTTGAATAAATCCAATATTTTATCAACATTTTAAATTATAGTTTTTTAATAAAATGTTCATTGTCGAATCAATGTTTAGTTAATATTTACTTGGTAATAGATTTATTAATATTTTAACCTTTTATGAACTTATAAGCTATCATCTAATAAAAATTAAAAATATGTTTACTTATTTGCTAAATTTTAGGATCATCGGTCCCAGAAATCAACATGGAGTTTGAAAGACATTGCTGTGACTCAAGAATAGCCCACAGTAACATTTCAATTGTTGGTTATATTTTAAATATAATATAAAGGTTAAGTAATAGATTCATTTTATTTACCCAATCTTAAATGTCACAAGACTGTTGGTAAGGTGGTTTGGTTTCTAAACTCTGCTAAAAGGGGTCAATCAAATAATTTGTTGAATGCTTAATGTTAAATGTACTGTAATCAGTTTAGTAGCAGGGTTAGAACTAAAATTATAATGTCCTACCTTACACAGGCTTTACATATCGTAATCATTTCTCATCCGTTATTTTTTGCTGTGTAATGTTTGACTTTACAATAAATAAACCTCTACTACAACAATACTCTGTTTAATGCAAAATCAAATATTCCGTACAATAAAATACTGATTAAAGTATAATAGATAAAAAACTAAAATAGTAGGTCAAATTGACAATTCTCTACAGTTGAGTTTAATTAGTTTGGCCACTCAGAGCTAGGGAGGATCATTACCATAGTACAAGGGGGAGGAGTAGGGCGTGTTGGACCATTCATCTGGAATCCTGCTGCAGGCACTACAAGGAAAGGGTGGAACCTCCCCATCTTGTATTGTGTCAACCCCCTGTCATAAGGGGGGGGGGGTTTACCAACTTTGTAGTTTTATTGGTTTTTCGAAATGTATTTTTTAACTTTCATTTAAGTATTATGATATTTAAGATAATCATCCCTAGTAGTAAATCGTGTTGAATTATATCTTAATCCAGTACTACCTGATTGACATCTGCCATGTTTTTGTTTGGATTTGCATGTAATGTCAAGGTTTTATTTGAGAGGCAATATGGTGGATAACGGTGTTCTAAGTCGAAAATTGTTCTAATGAAATGTTGATTTTGGATGGTAAAAAAAAACAGGGTTAGGACTGTTCCCTAAAATCATAAGAAAATGTCACTGGCATAGAAAACATAAAATAAATTAAATTTACTTCCTTTGCACAGTTTACAAATAAATTCCATATCTTTCGTCATAATAGTTCTAAAATTGTCAATTTCCATACACCAAAAAAAAAAAAACAGTATTCAGCTGACTTTTCCTGACACAAACATTACTTTTGCTAACAACAAACAAAACTTTGCTTGACATCGACAAAGTTAGAATACAACTGAATATCTGAATGAAAAATCAGATCATTTTTTTAAATTTGATGAAGTGGTTTTTCTCATCGTGATAAAGAGTATTGTTATTGTTCAATACTCGTAACGAAAGTTCATTTCAGGGCTCGATAGTGTTTCCCATGCGAGTCGAAGACGAGCACACAAACACTAAACAGCATTGTATCTAAAACACTATCTCGCCCCAAATGGGTAACTTTTGTGACTAGGACTGAAATATACTATATTGTACACTGTAGAGACAACCCATCTAAAAATACTTGCTGTAGCATTTTTTTACATCAAGAGCACATACGGTAGTTGAATGAACATTTTTTTAGAGTGTGCTTCTGTATAAGTCCTAGAAGAAGCTATGGCCGTAGGTGGCAGGAAAGACCTTGACCCAGGACGGATTTACTTTTTCATCATGATGTCCCCAGAGGCTAAAATCAGTTTGTTCAAATTTATTTATGTAAGGGTTAAAATGATAACTTGAGTAATTCTAGTCCTATTTTGATGAAATTTAGTATGAATGTTCAGAGCTGGATGAGCTTGATTGAGTTGGTGAACCTGTAATTTTGGATTATGGAAATTAAACGTTACTGGATTTTTAACATTTTGAAAAAAACAAATTTTCAAATTATACCCTTAAAACATGGAAATTCCCAATTTTCATCAGATCCATTGACAGAGCTGAACAAAGATACAATGTTGTACATTGAAACATTAATGTACTATTAAATGTTAGATAGATGTTAAAAAACCTTACATTTAATATTCTCATGTTTTTCTAAGGTGAAAATGAAAACTGTTGTAGTTTGCCTGTTATTAATTTTACTTATTATTTGAAAAAAAGCACATTTTCTTCTCCTTGTACAAGCAAACCTTAGCACTAGTCAAATCTATGTTATGTAAATACCTAGGGGATTAATATGACTTGATTATGGAAATATCTTGGTAAAAATCCAATCAGACAAATTTATATTTGCTCGGTTTGCAGGGTTGCTGTGGCGGTAGTATTTAATTTGTTTTTAACTCTGTGATTTTTGATACTTGATAGGGGTATAAAAGGTGGCTCATTCCATATTTTTCTAGTAATTGAGAGTCACCCAATTAGTTTTTGACTCTAGTATAGTAGAAACTAGAGAGCTAAAGGTTTCAAAACTTAACATCGCTTACCACTTATTACCCAGGATTTTACTTGATACTAAAATAAAAACACATTAAAAAGAGGTAACACATTTAATCAACTGTTTACATTTCTAAATATAGTAACACTAATTATAAACACAATAATAAAAAGGTTGTAATAAAGTCTAGTAAACCTAGCAATCAGGTACATAAGCGAAACTAATCTAAAACATTGACATAGAAACATAGATGAGACAGCACAATCCTGGTAGTCAACAGAACTCAAATTGTAAAACATCACAAGAGCTTAGTAGTATACAACAGGGGGAAAGTTTACAAAAGAAAGAAATTGCAACATAATATATGTATTTTATTCATAATAACTTTTTCTGCTTGGTATTTCTTTACTATACGCTTCAGTTATTTTCTTTACTTCAACTTGTCCACAGAATAGAAATATTTTTGAAAAAAAAAAACATACATATTACTTACAAGTTTTACATATATTTTACACTTTCATGAGTACGGAAAATTGTTTAATCCATCTCAGTGTTTTGTGTGATTCGCACCAATTTAAATAATTTGAAGGGTTATAAATTTGTTAAAACCCAAAATTTAAAATAGTTTAATTATAATCAGTTGTATGTTTTTAAAGGATGTTAAAGGAATCTTTGTATTCCATTCCCTCTCATCACAGTTAATTTAGCACTTTCATGAAACTCGAACATTATCTTAACTATTTTCAGAATATTATGTTTGGAGAAAAATCAATTCAATGGACGACTAGATTTCAAAAAATAAACATGTTACAAAACTGGCTAAAAGAGAAAATTCATTACCTATTCAAAATAATACTGTGGTAAATTGAAATTGAAAACTATTGTAGCTAAGAGGTTTTTAGGACAAATATTTTACATATATTAAATTTAATGTAACTTTAACAATTCCTATTTAAAAAATTACTATTCTATGGGAAACATCATGAACATGACTCTGATAGCGTGATTTAAGATAAAAGATCACTAGTATTGTTATTTTTTATTTACTGACACAATTGAAGTTTCAATTAATCCAGGATAAACTATATAAACTCGATTAGAAGTTTTTGCTGAAATAAGTAACAAAAAAAAAGGGTAAAAAGGGTATTTAACAATACCCTTTTTTAACTTTAAATTTCAAATTTAAAAGAGAAATTAAAATTCAACAATTCCAAAAAAAATGAAACAAAAAAAAAGGAAATGCTTGAAGTAGATGAGTTTACCACATTCATTTACAAAAATACCATTTCACCTTTGACTATTTTTAATACAATAGTATTTAATCCAATAGTCCACTGTGTGGTGATTTCACTGTGTATACCTTAGCTGATATTTAATGTTCTAAAGTAAATTCTCAGTGTGAAAGTACTGTAGTACAGAAAGGTGGTTTTTATAGAAAAAAAAACTTTAATTTACCAATTGTTTACTTAGGCTATCAGCTTATTATTTATATCAACAGAGTGTTTAGAATCTTTAGATTAATTTGTGTCAGAAAATACTGGTACATTCATTTGATGCCATAATGTATAGGACAGTAAATAACAGCCTACCATAGACGTCAGGCAGGAACAATTTTTTGTTTGGGAACAAGTTCCTCTTCTGATGGAATTTCAGGTCTTTTCCGTTTTCTAGGAGGTTGTGACATGGACAAGTTCATGCCCGTCTCCTGTTGCGGAGGTGGACTTTCTGCTTCTAATTTGATGTTTACAGGTGCAACTGCTGGTGTTGGTTCTGACCTTTCTGTTGTACTTTTCTCCTCTTTTAGTTTGAAATTAGCTGGAATAGGAATAGGTATGGGAATGGGGATAGGAATTGGAATGAGTACAGGGTAAGGAACCATAAGAGTAGGGGGTGGAAGAAGGGACGGTGCAATAGGCGGAGGTGGTTGATGGTTAGGGGGGAAATTCAACGGTGGGGGAAACTGTACATTCCTGTTGAGGGGAAGCAAAGGTGGAAGATTGCTATTTGGATGAGGCTTTCGGATTTGTGGCCTCGGAAGAGGAAACCTAGAAGCTAACTCAGCAAGAACGTGGGGTGGAGGGAAAAATCCTGGGTTGAGAAATGGAGGTCTATGCAACGGATGATCAGGGGGTAGAAGAGGGTTAGGCAGTGGGTAAGGATGCATAGGAGGCACCATGGGAGGTGGATTTTTGGGAGGAGAACCGCTATTAGTACTTCTCGGAGATGAGGAATTCGCACTGATTTCCGCCTGTGGCGTAACTATCGGAGCAGAAACTTTTAATCTCTTACTTCGAACTTTCCTCGCCTTGAAACTACTTTCTTTTTTGGACACTTTGTGTAAGGGTGGTGGGATTGGTAAAGGTTTAGGTGACACTGTAAGGTTTGTAGGTTTGAGGTCGTCATCGTCTTGACAAGGTGATGGGGGAGGTGAGGGCTTGACTGGGGTGGTTATCTCTATGATAGGGGAAGGTATTCTCTCAGGTGACCGAGACTTGTCGGAAGTAGGGGACTCGGAGCGGCAGTCTCTCATCCACAGCTCGGGAGTTATGAGTGTTGAGCCTGATGGGGCTGTGTGCCCCGTCACAGGTCCTGCAGATACCCCCGCAGACGCCCCTGCTGCCTCCTTTAGATGTGGATGAAGCTGGAGATGAGCCTGTGTCTCCTTGCAGAAGATGTTCATCTTGTACTGGTTCAAACACTTGTCACTGAAACAATCAAATATGTACTTTGTTTGTTGATCAAAACGTTAATCATGTTGATGCAATTTATACTACAGTATATTAACTAAAAAAATTCATTAATTTATTAACCCTTCCAGGGTTAAATTAAATAATGGGCTGGAGCATAAATATTTTTTTGTAAAATTTAAAAACTAAAGTGGTTATGTTTGAATTAATTTTGCTTGAAATAATTAATGGAACATTAACGGATTTTTCTAAGCGATGAACTAAGTTTTTACAAAAGTTATGAAGAAAATAAAGTTTGATTTGACGGATATATCTGACTTAGGGGTGAGTAGAAAGGCTTTTACATTAAAATTGCCTGGTGGTGCTACACCACAAACACCAACCTGCAAAATTGCAGCTGATGATCGCCGTCCTGGAAGTCGACATAGTTGACAGTGTGCCTGGTGTGTCGGCACCAATCACAGGTCTTGTTGCGCTTGAAGCTCGCTCTCCGACACTGTGTGAAGCACACCTCAGAACAGAACGCCTTGGAGCCCCGAGGTGTGGAGGTCTTGAATGTGAACTGCTTGGCTTGACCCACCTTGCGACACCAGGCACAGGAGAGACATCCCGGGGGAACTGCAACTGTGAAACAACAATGTTGGTTATTTGGGTGTGACACTGTGTGAAGCACACCTCAGAACAGAACGCCTTGGAGCCCCAAGGTGTGGAGGTCTTGAATGTGAACTGCTTGGCTTGACCCACCTTGCGACACCAGGCACAGGAGAGACATCCCGGGGGAACTGCAACTGTGAAACAGCAATGTTGGTTATTTGGGCATGACACTATGTGAAGCACAGCTCAGAAGGTCTTCCTGGATAAGCTCTCATAGTCACTAATGGTAGATTATTGGTCTTTTGGGGTCAACTGTGTCAAAAAGGACACAACATTACTGTCTATAGACGTACTTCAGAGTGCCTTGACTTCCGCAAAGTTGTCGTAATAAGTGTGTTGACTTGCTGCTACAATTGTGCAGAAGTCAAGTGTGGAAACGACGGTGGACAGTAGTGTTGTGTCATTTTTGACACGGTCGACAACAAATCTACCATTGTTATAGTATTTAATGGAGAGAGTTCTCTGGTTGAATTTTTTTTGCCTGTTGGTAATTGGTGGGATATGACATAGGCTTCAGGACAAACATTAAATGTTGGATACTGAAGTAGACAAGCTATGTATGGACCATCTGTAGCATTAAAAAAAATCAAATTGATCATACTCCAAGGCAATAAGGCACTCACAGAGGGTGCTGTTATCAAAATCTGAGTATTCCTTTTGGTCTTTAGAAAGACTTAAAAAATTACATGATTCACATTAAGATTTCCTTTCAATTTAGTTTAAATAAAAATCTTGTTTATTTAACAATAATCAGTAATCAGTGCACTCCATCAGTAACTTAATTCAACAATAATTATATTTTACCACCGTATTTACCACTGCATTTTTATATTTTATACTGTACCATTGACAAAATATTATTTACTTTTGAATAATATTTTAGTTAAGCACCGATTCAATGATTTTAGACCATTTCTTCTGTTTGAGAGATTGAGTAAGTAGAGTGAGTTCTGCTTCCAAGAAACCAACAAAGGAGTAAAATAAAGCAAATTTATCCAGGATAAATTTTCCTCATATGTTTTATGAGATGGATAGCTACTTTAGTAAGTGTCTAACCCAATGCTATAGTTGACTGACTCACTGACTGCAGTGGCCATTTCACCAAATCCTTGAGGGGGTGCAGCCGGCCCTTATCCAAAGAGAGGGGTCCAGGGCCCTCTCTTAAAAGATTGAGCAATTTTGAAACCAAAAAATCGGGGTTTAAGCATATTTTAAATGTACAAAAGGAAAAAGTATGAAAAATTGCTAGAACAGCATATTTTTCTCTAATCCAGGAACCAGGGGGGGGGTAGCGGATTTTTATCCCCCTGGAATTTTACCCCCTGGGCAAACGTGACGTCACAAACCAGGGGGTAAAATTCCGGCCGCGAACTTTTGAGTTTCGCGACATCAGTTCGATGGATTAAACGCGGAATTAAACATATATTTTCACGGTTGTGAATTTAATCAGAACACATCAAATTATAAAAACCTAGAGTGTACGGCCCGGATTTTTACCCCCGGAATTTTACCCCTGGAATTTTACCCCCCCAGAATTTTACCCCCCGGAATTTTACCCCCAGATTTTTACCCCCGGAATTTTACCCCCCGGATTTTTACCCCCGGAATTTTACCCCCTGGCCAGATATAAAAATTAGTGAGAATGATTAATTATCTTCATTCTGTTTTAATTTAATAGTAAACATTTTATCATTAAGTAGCCTACTGTATATTAATTTATTTGTAACATTAACTAATCGAACAAGTTTTTAATTTTTATTTTGAGATTCTAGTATTAGGATTCGATCTTTGAAGCCAACAGTTGGTTAATATGACGTATAAACAATCAACTGAATGATAATTGTTTCGATCATTTCTTTACAAAATAAACAAATAAAGATAGGCTACTAAATAATGAAATGTTTACAATTAATTACAAACAGAAACAAGAAAATCAATCATTCAATTTCTAAGATGGGCCAGGGGGTAAAATTCCGGGGGGTAAAAATCCGGGGGTAAAATTACGGGGGGTAAAATTCCGGGGGTAAAATTCCGGCCGCGAACAAACTTTTGGCCACTCAGGTTCCTACGTCATAGTGACGTCAGCTTTGCCCAGGGGGATAAAATTCCGGCGACCCCCAGGGGGCACTGGGCAGACATCCCCTCAGCCCTCCCCCCAAATGATGCCATTGACTGACTGACTTCGCCAATCCAATTCTACAGCCTCCAATGTCCATGATTATATAGAATCCCCCTTTTGAGTTCAATGATAAGAAGTAATTATTTACAGATTAACTTATCAAAGTGTAATGATACATAAATTGTGTGAAATATTAAGTCTGATTCAATCAGACTTAATATTTCACACAATGATTCGTATTTAACCTTACACAAGTAGGTAGTAGATCTTAACAAACTTAATTTTAAATTTAATATTCATTTATAATCCATTATGAAACCCAAAATACTTCACTTCTCATACACAGATAACAATTTTGTTCTATTCTAAAATATCACTTTTTGTAATATAACATACTCGATGTATTTTTACTTTTCAAATGTTGGTCACACTTCCCAGTTGGCAACACTGTAACGATCAGCTGTAACGGATATCCGAGCAGCTGATATGAAACTAAAGTTATTCAAACTAACTACAGCCGGTGTGTAGTTTGAGTCGTGCCATTAGCAGAGTTTTTAATTGCCGCGAGATCCGATTTCGATGCGGTGTTGTATTTCAATTTGTTCGCGTCGGCGACACCCGATCTGCGCGCACTCTATACGCCCATTATTCCCGACGGCAAAAACTTTAATTAGCATTCTGCTAAAGCCGATCACTCTTTGTTTATTTATTATGTAGGGAAACTGGATTTCCTCTGCACTGTGAGTTATGCCAATAAAGGGAATCCGATAATTAGCTGTAAATCTCATTTACTCATTTAACCTAATGTCCATGCAACGTCATAAAATGTATTTGAACTGTGCAATGTTGGTTTAAACATGATAATGTCAGAAATGAGTATCTTTATTTATAACTTTTTGAATACTTAAAACAAAAAGTACAACGCTTTTTTCAAACTTTTCTTTCGAAGTAAGTTTTTAGTCGTTTAATTGATCTTGCGGTAATCTTTTGGAGCAAACTGTAGCCAAAGAAATTGATCCCCTCCTTTGAAATTACCTACTTATAACTGATTTACCTACACAATTGATGATATCCCTACGAGACTAAAAATGTGTATACCTGGAGCAGCGTTTGGGAGTTCTCAACTCACCGAAAATAATTTACGATCAAGTTAAAATGAATAATTAGAATGTCTGGAACTGCGTTCAAAGAAATGCATTTTCATTTGGCAACTTCATCAATATGTTTATATCAATTAAAATTATGCATGATAAATATACTTATTTCCACAACAGTAAGCGATCGGTGATAATTTCATGAACCCTAAATTATGTAGGGATTATAATTTTGAAAATTTTTGTAATGCCATATTACTTTTTCCACGTGATATTTTACGTTAGTTTAGAGTGTTCTTGTCTAAGCTATTTTCATCGACGATCAGTGTCTTGTATCCCTGTGTGGATTGGTGGTGTAAGTAGTTGGGGAGGCGCCAGAAATAAGAAAATATGGGGAGCAAAACACGTGAAACTGAGCCATCGCCAAGTGGGATAAAGGATTTTGTACTCTGTAGGTCAGGGATGCTGATAAGATCTGCGAAATTAAATCACACCAGACCTTGGTAATGGACGAATTTTAAATTAAATTGGCAATACACAATCTTTAAAATGTCACAAAACTTTATTGTGGGTTTCTTGAAATCGAGCGCAATTGTGGTGCATTATATTTTGTGTGCACATTCTGTTATTGTGTGTGTTGCACTGTACTAGTGTACTGTACAAGTTAAATTATACCTAGCAGTAAAAAACCATTCATCCCACATGACAGGTACAATACTTTACTTACTATAAATAATTAACCAGTAGTGATCCCGGCTTAACATTGTGGTGTGATTTTGGATTCTTAGATCCTCACGTCGATTTTTTGATTATTGAATGGTTAGACTGTGGAACTGGTGTTACTATTACTGTGCCATAGAGTACAACAATTGTGTCTTATAATTAACTTTGTAATTAATTTAGTCTCATTAAGGTAATATCTTGGGGGTAACTGCATAAAAGGACCACGGTCCACGATGTCATAACATTGTTGCACGTATTTTCAGTAGTTTTTACAGATTTAAAAAGTTAATGAACACATTTTCAATTATTTTGAAGATGTATAAAAACCACGAAAGAGTCTATGTTTTTTTAAGGTGTTGGTACCACAATCCAACTTACAACACTAAGTAATCTAAAAATCATAAAACTATGGTACCGGTTAGGTTAGGTGTAAACAAATGCCATTAAACTGCATTATCATAAAATACCTAAAAATCTACACCTATTTTAGAAGGACATTCCTTTTACTCTGAGAATAAATTCTACACTGGACAGACCAAAATGTTTACTCGACTGTAACAGTAGTTGCGCGTTGTGCCGTTGTTCTGCGAAGGACGAAGAAAAGGTTTACAATGACAAGGCGGGTTGGGATGTCAGTTTCATATGTCCTCCCCCTCCCCCTCCCCCACCCCTCGGCATCTCAGACAGTCATTATTGCACAGCTGATCGACTCCGATATCAGATACTCATTATACTAATGATTTTAGTCTTTATCCAGTAACGGGAGAAGTCTCTGTTTAAATCCCGCTGGACGCTCGTCCTTCGCAAATAATTAAGGGTGTTCCGTTACAAAAAACCACGTTTGTCAACGTCATTCTTCGCATTAGATTGGTGAAGTCGTAGTAATGGTGGAGGATAATTCTGGACTTTTGCAAAGATTTATACTGGCATAAAGTGTTTTGGAAAAAATCAACCGGAATAAATGTGGTTCTTTGTATTGGGGGTGTCGTGTTTAAAGGTACGAATGTATTTTTTAACATATGGTCATGTTCTGTTCTATGATGTTCAATAGCATTAAAGTTACAAGGATTACCAACAAGGTGCAGCACTATTATTTCTTTTACATTTATGACAACAGCTAATTTGCAACCAAAAGGTGAGTGAGCGTAGCGAACGAACTTCAACCTGGAGGCGAGTGAGCGTAGCGAACGAGCTAACC